ATAGGCGGCGACGTGAGGAGGCGGCGCAGTTCATTGAAAGAGTCGTCACAGGTGGCAGACCAGGCTGAAAGGTCTCTAGAGCCGGCGAGGAGCTTGGTCAAAGGAGCGATGATCGTCGCGAAATTGCGAACGAAGCGCCGGAAGTAAGAGCACAGGCCTATGAAGCTTCGGAGCTCTTTCATAGTGGTCAGTTTGGGAAACGCTGAAACGGCTGTAAGTTTGGCAGGGTCAGGATGAATGCCATCTTTTGAAACCACGTGGCCAAGGATCGTAAGCTTTCGAGCAGCGAAATGGCACTTCTTCAGATTCAGTTGCAGCCCCGCGGCAGAAATACACGCGAGGACTTTCTCGAGGCGGTTAAATGGGTTGCGAAATCAGTTGAAAAGACGACAATGTCATCTAAATAACAAAGGCAAACGTTCCGTTTGAGGCCTCGAAGGATAGAGTCCATCATTCGCTCGAAAGTAGCTGGCGCGTTCAGAGGCCGAAGGGCATGACTGTGAATTCGTAAAGCCCGTCGGGCATGATGAAAGCTGTTTTCTCGCGATCGGCCTCTGCCATGGGTACCTTCCAGTATCCAGAGCGCAGATCTAAAGAAGAGAAAAATTCGGCTCCCTGTAGGCAGTCCAAGGCATTGTCAATGCGTGGCAGCGGATAGACATCCTTGCGCGTGATTCGGTTGAGACGTCGGTAGTCCACGCAAAACCTGATGGATCCGTCCTTCTTCACCAACACAACTGGAGAGGCCCAGGGACTGCTTGACGGTTCGATTATGCCACGTGTCAGCATGTCGTCAACCTGTTCATTGATGGCACGGCGTTCGGTAGTTGACACACGATATGGACGCTGCCGTAATGGCGTCTCTTGACCGGTATCTATACGATGAACAACAGATGACGCTCGACCTAAGGAAGGCTGATTGTGGTCAAACGAGGCCCGAAAACGCTGTAGGAGCTTGATCAGCTGTTCCTGCTGCCCAAGCATGAGGTTGCAATCAATGGACTTGCGGAATACATCCATAGGTTCATTAGCGTCAGTTGCGGGTGTAATGGCACAAGTCGGTAAAAATGACTTGTCTGGATAGATCGGGTCTTCGAAAATACAATTTAAGGTCTCGAGGCTCCCCAGACACTCGCCGCGTAGCAGGATGTATGGGCAAGCAGAAACGTTGCACGCATAAAGTACCACCGAACCATTGAAAAAGTTGATGACGGCAAACGGGAGGACGATGGTTCGGTGTTGCACACTAGCTATAGTTGGTTGGAACAGGAGCGTCGAGTTAGTGGCAGCAGGGGAAAACACAGGCACTAGGACGGCGGACAACGGCGCGATGCGGACGTCAGCTGCGGCAAACACTTTTGAGGGACTGTGGTGGTCGATTTTAAGCCTCGGATTCGTTAACGTGAGTTCAGCACGAGCGCAGTCGACGAGGGCCTGATGGGTAGAAAGGAAATCCCATCCTAGTATGACGTCGTATGATGAACGTGGGAGAACAACAAAGTTGACGGCGTACCAAACATCTTGAATAAAAACGCGTGCTGTGTACTGAGCTGTCGGCGCGATGAAATGGGAGGTGGCTGTACGCAGAGCAAGATTCGTAAGCGGCGTTGTAACTTTTCTCAAATCGCGACATAGTTTTTCACTAATTACAGAAACGACGGCGCCTGTGTCGACAAGTGCACGTACAGCAACAACTTCTACTAGCACATCAATTTCGTTGGTCGGACAAAGAGGAGGTCTTAGAAAGTTCGATGACGACGCAGTTCTTGCCTCCGGAACTGCGGCTGTCAGTTTTCCTCTCGAGCGGGGCTCGTGCGCCGGAGCATCGGGGAGACAGATCGGCGACGGGGTGGTAATGACCAGCGAGAATCGACAGGGCGTCGTGGGGACAATGAGTCGGTGATAGGAGAAGATGGTCGCAGGGGATTCTGGGCAGCTTGGTAATTTGCAGAATTCCCATGGTCTGGAGGCTGGAAGTTGCGACGGCGACAGTAGCGTGCTATATGTCCCACGAAACCGCATGCGAAACAGATGGGTCGATTATCCAAGGTGCGCCATGGGTTAACGACAGAAGGTGCAGGTGGCGAAACGGGATGGGGTGCCATGTATGTTGGCAGCGTCGGGTAGGAGGACCCGGTGCCCCGGTATGCGCCAGAGACAGGTGGGGCTGGGGGTCTAGCAACGACGGCAGCGTAGGTCATCGGCGTAGGGACGGGTGGCGATGGAGGCAGTGCCTGCTTGACCTGTGTCTCAATGACCTGGCGTAAACGTGGGTCTAACAAGATCACTAGCGCGGATGCTTCGGCCACAAGAGAAAGCTGACACGCAACTTCTTCACGAATGAATTGTTTGATGTGGGGCAGTAAGACGGTGTGATCAGCAGCGACATCGTGCACGAGGGCGGAAACTTCAGCCGTATCTTCAGCTGCCCTGCGCGTCGAGACACGCTGCTTACGCAACTCGTCGTACTCCTGACAGAGCTGGACAACATCGGTGACGGTCTGTGGATTCCTAGCGACGAGCATCTGGAAGGTATCGTCGTCAACTCCTTTGATGATGTGCTTGATTTTGTCGCGTTCGGTTAGAGATTCATCGACGCGCTTGCAAAGAGACAAGACATCTTCAATGTAACTTGTAAAGGTCTCGTCTCTGCGCTGGACTCGACTACGGAGACGCTCTTCCGCGCGAAGCCGGCGCACGGCGGAATGACCGAAGACCGCGGCGATGGTGGTCTTGAAGGCGGACCAGTTGGTGATTTCGCCTTCGTGGTTCTTGAACCAGAGGCTGGCCACATCAGCGAGGTAAAAGCGCACGTTTGTGAGCTGGTCGCAGGCGTTCCACTTGTTGGAAGCACTTACGATTTCGTACTCGACGAGCCAGTCCTCGACGTCTTGTTCGTCGTTGCCGCGAAAAATTGGTGGGTCGCGTTGCCGAGGTACGCCAGTACAGTAGACTGTCGTTGGTAAGGCAGCTTGAGAAGGGCCAGGAGCAGTCATGGTGAACGGTGAGGGTAGCGTCCGATTGCGAAGTTCCAGGTTGATGGGAACCCCGGCTCCTCCACCACTTAAAATAGAGGTGTTGTACGTCGAAAAAGGTTCAGACGCAGCTTGGCAAAATATGCTTTATCAGGCAGGTCTGGCTAATGGCGAGCGGCGTGCGCGAGCTACTACTACAGCCACCGATCATCATCGTCTTCTTCATTGCCAGCAGAGCGTCCGTTATTCAGATTCATTTTTTCATTACAATATATAATATATATATATATATATATATATATATATATATATATATATATATATATATATATATATATATATATATATATATATATATATATATATATATATATATTATGCGCTACTGGGCCAGCATCCAGAAGGAGGCCTTGAGAGTGAAAAAGAAATCAAGAAATCAGATTGGGGGGGGGGGGGGGTCAAGTAAAAACTTTGAGGCAGGAATCTGGTGACTGTTGCGTCTAAGAAAACCTTTTCAAATGGTAAAAGATGGGCCACGCTAGCCTTTACTAATCTTCATGCGACCACCCGGCGTTCTTTCAAGGACTGTGCGCTGTCACTTCGGATTATGTTAACCCTGTTAGTCTGTCCATTTCCACTACAAAGAAGCGAATACCCGTGCTGTAACACCTATGGCGGTCTCGTCTATAGCGACCACAGCAGATCGTATATTTTGCCGATACGGGCACATTGAATGCGGTCGGATCTTTACGTATAATTTTCGGAATTTAGAAATCATGTAAATGTTAATACTACAGGCATCCATAACAAGCTGAGCGCTTCCACAATATTTCAACGGATATATCTCATTCTCGCGAATCGTTTTCAGTGGTATTGTGCGCATCAACTGGTATAATTTCACTACCGCACATATTGGGAGCCAGTTCGAATTGTCCTGTACTTAGTAGCCCTGGTTGTAATTCGACATTCTACCCACCATGCAAGGGAAAGCTATGTGCCGTTGTTTATTACTAATAAAGCTACAGCTGCGCACCATCTGCGTGTAACATCACCTAGCTTCGCATAGCTCGGGGAGCCAACCGGATGTCTTTCTGGTTAACCTCCCTGCCACCTCCTTTTTGTTGCTTCCTTCCAGCTTCACATGCATCGAGGAAGCAGTTGCCGCCAAGCCACTTCCACAAACGAAGACAATATTGCAGTGGCTGCACCAAGCTCGCAAAGAGTGACTCGCTCGCTGGATTTCGTGCCGACCGGTTGTTCCCTCGCGATCTCCGACGTCAGCGTAGCTCTGGCCGACTGGGCTGGCCCTACGTCATCTCCTGAGGCCGATCTTCGAAGACAGCGTAGCTCTGACCTACTGGACTTGCTCTACGCCATCTCCTGGCGCGGACAAGAGCTCTCGCCAGTGGTTCCCCGTCCTCAGACTCCTGCAACCATGTCCATCTTTCCTGTTTTCTCCTTACTTCAGTCGTTCGCTGTCCCTGCGCCTGGTTCTCTCCTTCCTCTTTCTCTATCTCTTTACCTTTTAATCCTATCCTTTTATTCCCTTCTCTAACCCCATTCCTCGTGAGCTACTGTTGAGGTGTCGTCCCCCTGCGAGGCAATTACGGGACTCACTTTTTTCTTCTTTTCATTTAAAATCACTTCCCCTCTCGCAAAGAGTGGCATGAACCGAGTACGAGCGACGACAATTCCGCGCTTCTATCGTGGGTGGCACAGCCAACTTTGCACGTTAGTTCTGACGCTGGAAATTGCTCACTCTTGCAGGGTTTGTGACAGGTTGTGGTACGACTCTATTTCCTCTACGCTAAATAAATATCTAGCATTAGCTCATAAGGTCACAAGTGCCTAAGATCAACCAGAATTGTTGTTTCTCAAGCTTTATTTTACGCTGATAGAGCAAACTTCTCCCGTATTTTTTTACGTGCGTCTGTCATGTACTATTTTTAACCACACGTCGGGTTTCACCCCTTGCGTGATCTTCCACACAAGATTTTTGCCTTAAGAATGTATCTGCTTGCGCAGGAGATCTTCGATTGCTGACAAACTACAGCGTGGCCGTGGAGCCTGACTTCTCGAGTGACTCGGACGCAAATGCCATACTGTATGGTTCGGGACAGATTCCGGCTGACGCTGCCGGCGAAGGAAGACCGGCGCTTCCAGATGGTCACCTCCGAGCACACACTCATGACCACCAAGGGATGTGAGTACTACGCTTAATTGAGGCGTTTTTTTTCTCTCTCTCAAAGAGCCAAATGCAGAAACCGAAACTAGGCTAAATTTCTGTGGAACGTAAGGCATGCCTAAGTATCTTCAATTTCCAGAACAGTTAAAACCTAAATGGGGCTATTCTGTATTGCAACATGATCTCAAAAAGACGGTTTCTAATAAAAAATGAGCCAGCTACTCCAGCTGGTTCAAAGAAAGTGAGCCACATTCATTGAACCAGCACTACGCCAACAAACATGATCAAAACTACCAACATTATCCCACCTAAAATGTTATATTTGTGTCATAGTTGCTTTGTTATCGAGTTAACGTTCCACAAGTTAGGTTTTCTAGAGCGAGTTGGCATTTACTAAAGGACATTTTGTTGAATGACCAAACTGGATTGTAAAGAGTAAGAAGCTAACTTTCCTACTTCTTTTTGCATCTTAGTGATTCTTCTCGACTTTAGCAGATTATCTTATCCTCCGTTCACTCCAACACGGCATATTTGAAATAAAATAGGCATGAAATAGAGATATTGGGCGTCTATCTATTCGCGATAAGAAGTGGTGAGAAATGGCGCGGCGTAAAACTGACTGGAACACTTTTCAAGGCATTCAATAGAACACAGGAACGAAAAAACACTGATGACAGTAGAATAGTGCGCTTGTCGCCACAAAATACCACTCGCTCTTCAATCTAGTAATCGCCATTGCGCCTACGCGTCGGAGCCCTTAACCGCCGGAAGCACGAGTGTGATGTCAATTCCATCGCAAAATATTGCTATACTGCACATTCGATCGTTTTACACCTATTTTACGAGCTGATTCTTGTCCAAATGAAATGTTTAAATCTATATGAGCCAAATACAAACTTTCCTCCGCAATACTGACGACATTTGGCTATCTAGATTTAAGCCACAATATAGACTTGTGGTATTTAGGGGAGAGGAATATACTGGAAAAAAGTTGTTTGAGCAGGCTCAACCATATTGTCAGTAGAAAAAAGTGCATTTTACTGAGTTTCAGTTAAAGTGCATTGGGCTTTTTTAGAAGAAAAAGAAAACACCTCTAATTAGTGTGTCTTTATGGGCTTCCGAATGGGCCTGTGTTGAATTCCAATAGTAGATCCATATGAATTTTTTGTGCGCTAAGCGGAGCAACCACTATCTAATGGCACATCGGAAGCGGAGATAGTGTGTTCCAAAGGCAGGTTGATAGCAACCGCAGATTACGGATTGCTCTCTGCAGAGCGAGAACTCTCGCTGCGCCGAAATCGTTGGTGTTGACCGGAAGTTCCCGTGACGTATCCTGTGCGCCCCCCCTTTCACTCCGTCACGGACCGACGTTCACAGTCGAGGATGGCCATGGGCGACCAGGAAAACACTACGCGCCCCCCTCGCCAGATTTCCGTGTATCAACTGCTCCTCTCGAGGCGCACGCTTTTCAATCGCAGATTTGTGGAGAGCATTCCCGCTAGTATCTGCGCGTTCCGTTCGTGATTCGGCGGTGGTGGTCAACCATTTAATAATCATTAATTGGTTACATAGAGGATGATTGGGTCGGTGCCTTGTTGTCCTCCTCCCCTCACAGCACTTGGTCGAACCCCTATTCCGGAGCTCCATTGGAAAGCAACTCCACTCGCGTCTGTTGAACCAGGGCCTTTTGGGCCTTCAGGCCCTGACAGCCGAGCAGGGTGCGCCTCCCAGTACTCTATCCTGTGGTCGGGGGTGGGGGATTGATGGATTTGACTGGCACGCCCACACTGGTAGGTGTCAGCCACCTCTCTCCATAGAACTGGCACGTGCCATCAAATGATGAATTGAAATGTTAAATGTTTTAGCAGTGCCGGGCACACTACAGTATTGGTAAACAGTTTTAAAGGGAAGCGCTCGTCAGTGAAATACAGTCCTTTACAAGGGTCCGGATAGCGCCGGTGCTTCTCCTTGTAGTAATTGGTAATATATTTCAATGTAAGGGCCGAATGGTCTTGATCCGGTGGAGCACTCACGATCTGCCTTTGGTAGTCAACATAACGCTGCGCATAATAGGTCAACCATTTACATGCCAAAGAATGTGTTTCATTCGATCCGCAATGCTAGTAATGTATACGTAAACGGCAAGAAACTTCCGCGACTGATTCGTATACTAGTCTGACATTCGCAAATCACTCGTCACTCAGACGCGTGTCTATATACTCGCACTGCGCACATGGGGCTTCATCCCGTATACACTCAGCGACCGAACCCGCAAGATTGCCATCCGTGAGCTGGAGGAAACTCAATCATAGAGAATGCAGTGAGCATTTTTTTTTGATCTCTTTGTTAGCGTCCAGTACAATTAGCGCGAGTGAATACCTTTAAACTTGGCATGGCGATTAACGTTCGCCTAACTCTAAGCAAGCGACTGTTTTTCAACGCGAATATAAATAACGCGTGAACTCTCGCAGCTATGTCGAGAAAACGCAATGCACTCTAATCACCTCATTTATCCAACTGTACGCATTGCCTGCGCGTTGTTTACAAAAGCGTGGTTGTGTATTACCCTTCTAAATAAACAAAAGAAAAAAAGAAACGCGCACTTTGCTTAGCGTCTTCTTTATCAACGTGCAGTCTCTGCGCGGGCGGAGCGATGCCTGGCGAACGCTTCCCGCGTGGTGGTCAGCACGGGTCCCTTCTTCGGCGGCAAGATCGCCGTGGAAGACAGCAACGACGACGCCTGCCTAGTGTACGGCGACCCCAACTCGCCTCAAGACGCCTACACACTGGACATCGACCACAAGCGCTGCGGAAGCCGACTGGTGGTCAGTATACGCACGTTGCTCTATAGCCATTGCGCTTCATAATGAGAGAAATCTAGTGTCTATGGGAGCTTCCAGCGTAGGACGCTTCACCCATCGTGGGGATGATGGCTAGTATACGTGGATTCGCCTAAGCGTGATTCCTTCTGGCCAGCGCGTGGCCTGCGACCTCTTTTTCAGAAGACGAAGTTCAGCCTAAAAGTTGATCAGTCCCACTTCACCACTTTGGCCCTTTCAGGGTCGACCATTCAAATAAGATCACGAGGTTCACAATAAACGTTATTTATCTGAAACAAAAATAGAGCCACAAGTGCTTTCGAAGTCGCAACTAAGAAGAATAGTCGCATCTATGAATAATAATAATAATAATAATAATAATAATAATAATAATAATAATAATAATAATAATAATAATAATAATAATAATAATAATAATAATAATTGTTGAAGTTTAACTTTGTTGTGGTTTATCAGAGCTACCTTAGCGGAAGGCCCCGACAATTTCGATCACCTTGGGTCTTTTAAAGTGCACCTAATTTCGATCACCTTGGGTTTTTAAAGTGTACCTAAATATAAGTACGTGGGCCTCAAGTATTTCCGTGCCCATCGAAAATGCGGCCGCGGCGGCCGGCATTCCATCCCGCGACCTGCGGGTAGTCCACCATGTCCGATGGCAAATCCGTGTAATAGCTCTCAGTTCCATGGTAGATGATTGATCTCAGCGCCACGATTCGATTTAGTAAATTCCAATTCCATCGTAGCAATATTTTAGGAAACTCCATGTTTCTAGCATCTTCATGTCTCGTGGGTTCAGAAAAAGTGGGCAACAATATAGAGTACTTAGTACTCTACTAAGAGATAGTACAAAGCCGTCCCATGGGCCTCACTAGGGGAGGGACACAAGCGTTAAACGATGACGCCATGAATAATAGGACTTGTTTAGAAAAAATTTATTGCCACAAACGCCAATAACACTCAACAGAACATTTCCTTCTTAGACATACTCTAACGATGAAGACAAAACAGACGTCATTTACATGAACATGGATATGAGATGACGTTGAAAGAACATGTACATTCGATGGTTATAGGACTTTAACCAATCAATGAAATAAAGGACAACCAAACTGAAACTCGGGAAGCTTAAACAAGCACCTGCCCAGCTGGCTATCCTGCTTAAAGGGAGGAGGAGTAACGTATCAATAATAAATAAATACAAAAACTCAATAAGCTATTTCGATTGTCAAGGAGACAAAACAAGACTGAGTGTGATGACCATTCTTAAGTTTCTTTAGGAGAACTGCTTTGATTGTACGTACATTGTGGGCATATGTAAGATAGTTCTTGATCATTTGTACAGTCGCACTGAATATGGCTTGCAAAGAGGGAGCGCGGGGCTTCTCGAGTTCAAAGATTACGCGTGGCTTCCACTAGCCCTTATTTCCATTACTAAACGCGTTTATGTCATTTGAGTGTGATCCCAAATGAGGAAATCGTATTTAGTTGTTGAAATAAACACAAGTTCAAACCATGCGCAGCCTTTGAACTCACGTGGCCACGCGCTCTCGTGTTGGAAGTCACATTGAGCGCACCTGTGCATATTCAGCATCCCATGGTGTTCCTCCCCTCCATCGTTCGGGAGGGACACATCTCGAGTTTGTTCAGTGCCTCGGATGTGACAGGTTTTACCAAGACTTCCAGACCTCCTAAACGCGTATAAAGTACCACGTCACGAGTGGTAGAGGTGGAGCTTCAACACAGGAGCAGACCCGTCGGCCTGAAAAGCCTCTGCAACGACCAAAGGGTTGGCGAACGTGTCCTCCTAAATTTGCATCGTCAGCTGTTGCTGGCACTCGCGAACAAAGTATTTCTCAATTCTCTGCGAGCTACGCAGCCGTAATGCCTTTCTGGTTCAATTTACTTAGCGCGCCACACAGCGTCGCTGCCCGTTCTCACTGATTGGCCGAGCGAGATGTGCGCATGCAGCACGTGCCGGACCAGATGCATTGCGGAAACTAAATTGTTGGTCGAGCCACGGGCTTTTGCGTGTAACTAAACTCCCGGATGCCCGCGTGTCTCTCTGTTTGTGCAGAACGGGTCCAAGATGGAGACGAACATCATCGTCCACGAAAACCGAGACATAATCACGCACAACACGCGCCGCTACTTGGTCGTCTGCAGTTTCCTGCCCGACACTTACACAATCACGGCCTCGTAAGTATACGCCCTCCCTGTATGCGAGCGCGCATGCGCGCGAGTGTGTGTGTGTGTGGGGGGGGGGGGGGGTGCGCGCTTCTGCACATTTACTCCTATACGCGAGGTAGTCCCGTTCGGCGCGCGTTTTGTATACAACTGTCAAAAGTTGCAGTTGCAACAAAGCGTTGCATAGCATATGACGTGAGAGCTACATATCATATGATTTCTCTTGCAAGATGACCGTTTGAGGGCAAAACTTGTCCCAAGCTTTTTTTCAGGCGAGTAGACGGAAGAGCGAGAATCAAGCGGACGCTCGCCTGAAGACGAAGCCGCTGTCTACAGCTTGAGGTACACGTGGAAGGCACGACTCTTTTGTAACGTGCTAAATATAAACTAAATGACAACGCGTTAAATTTATACGGATATAATCGTGTCACTGGTGTCTGCTGCGTCCTGCCCGAAAGAGCTTCCGGTGCAGAATGAAGGAGCTTTGTTTACATTTCTCGTGTAGAAATCGCGGACGCAATTATGGAACTACATTCATTAGTGGTAGCGTTCGCGCAGTGGGGCTCTGTAGCATTCTCTTCATTGTCAAAAAAGGTTGCCCGCGAGAATAGTCGCGAAGCATCTCTGCAGAGCCGCCGACATTTAATTAAAATCTGAGTGGTCCGGACCTCCACACCAATCTCGTGTTTCGAGATTGGTGTGGAGAAGCCCAGAAAGTTGGCTTTCAGGAGTGCACCAAACTAGGCGGGTTAGTTTATCGCTAAGACGGGAACAAACAGCGCTAAAGATGGGACCTGTGATAGAACGACAGTCAAGGTCCTAAACTAACAACCACTGGTTTATTGTCAGGAAATGGAATGTTTACCGAAGCTTTGTGCTGGATACGTACCAACACAAAAACAAACTATCTGTGCACGTTATCTGCGACAGAATGGAAATGAGCGATGATTTTTTTCTGATGTCGGTGCACATAGTGTGTTCTGTGTTGGCTGTCTGCGCTAAGGTTGTGCATATATGGCACCCATCCGCAGTAAACCAGTGGTTGTTAGTTCAGTGCCTTTTCTGTCATTCTGTCACCGTCCCGTCTCTGGTGTTGTCTGTTCCCGTCTTAATGAGTAATGATGCCCGTAAATCAACGTCGCAACTTTTGCCCTAACCACTCAGTGCGGGCTACTGACCTCTATTTTTATGCTTTGCTTTTCTTTTGATTGCTTCTATTTCCTTTTATGGTCCTCACTCATTTTGATAGATCTTCCAAGAACCTGTGCTGTACTTTTCAACAGCTTTTTTTCTTGTATTCGTATCATAATGAGATGCCGTTATTGATTCTTTTGTCTCCTCTGCTTATGTAATACCATGCAAAGGTCCTTTGAGGGTAAATAATTGATTTTGATGGTGGTGGTGATGATGATGATGATGATGATGATGATGATGATGATGAGCCTAACTCGTGAAGCAAAGTGATAACAGAATTAACCTTCATTATCAATGTTATAATAACATCGTGGAAATGCAATCATTCTAAAAAGTCGAAATCGCATCTACATATCAAGATAAGTGGAAAGCAAAAACTTCGGAAACTGAATCGCTGGGATTGATTTACACTGCACGAAAAAACACGGACATGTCCAGCGATTCATGGGTCAATACGGTGGCTCATACAAGAAAAATGGCACACACAACGCGTTGGCAGAATCCGATAGTCGAGGCCCGTAGAAAATTTTAAAAAGAGCTTATTCAGCCCAGAACTAACCTCAAGAGGGAAATTTTCGGATTATTTTTACGTTGATCAAAGGCCGGTATAATAAAGCATGAACAGTAGCCTAGTCCTCATTAGAGAAACATAGGAGCGAGTAATTCTCATAATCGTACTTGTACCGGCAAATGTTTGCATAGGTCCTTCAACAGCGCAATTTGTTCACAGATTATTCGATGCTACGTTTACTGCAATATTTATGATGTCAGGCATGCCCGCTGTGTTCATGCCAGTGTAGGCTCGCACAGCTGTTTCTGATAAATTATTCATTCAACAAAAAATGCAGATGAGCTTGTTGAACTAATTTGGGTACGAAGGATACTATATTTTGTAATTGTGAGCCACTTATCACCATTTATGAATATTTAACGCGCACATCTACGTACAAGAGCACTTCCATGTTTTAAGCCATTTAATTACGAATGCTGTCGCCAGGCTCACATAATCATTATTTTCCTTTCCAGCTTATTTAATATATTATTATCAAGCGTTCAGCAACGAGAATCTTTTCCAAATAATCGTCTATCTATGTGCACACTTCAACTTACTAGACATAATCTTCTATGTCAGTCATTATTAATTTGTATTCATTGAGAAAGTGTCTTTTATGTGGGATACAGAAAGTCTGTGACTAATGTTCTACGGTGGAATTGGTTCCCGTCTGTCAATCTCTAACCCTGAGAGCAAGCCAAAATAATCTCATGATCAACAATTGCTTGACGGGGGTGCAAGCTAAAGAAAGGGGCGCAACAGAAAAGGTGTCCTTGACTGAAGAAATGTTTCGAGTGTGTCCTTTCTGTTTTCTTTGTTCTAAGCAGCGCTACCATAAAGTAAAATTTCATACGAAGAAGCCCGCGTCGTCATCATCATTGATTAAAAGACGTTTGCCAAGAAAATGGGGTAGCTGTGCACTGATGCTGTGAAGATAGTGGAAAGAGCGGTGCTCATCGCCTCCTCCGGCTCTTTTCTCTCTTCCTTCGCCCTAACAACGCTCCTCCTACTCCTCACTTTCGTTTCCCGCCCCTTTGAAATGTACTATACATCATACATGAATAAGCTATGCCTGGAGTTGCATGGCACATACCCGCTTTCTGCGAGTCTCACGGCACAGCAGACCAGCAAGCCACGCCAGCCCTATTGCAGTACTTAGGGGGCAACATATTGACAAATCACCTGTGAAACCCTGCACTGTTTTTGTGTGCGTTATGAAATGTGACTCTCTCTCTCTTCTCTCTCTCTCTCTCTTGTTTATTTCCTTTTTTCCTCTCCATGTGTAGAGAAGCGAACTGAACGTGTTGTCTAGTCAACCTCTGTCTTTCCTTTATCTTTCTATCTCTCTATCTATATCCTTCCTCTCTCTTTCTCTCTCTCTCTAATGCATACCCGCCCAGTTTTGTGCGGACAATCCCGTAGTATTGCACAGCTTAAAGGGACACTAAAGCGAAACAATGACTTGGTTTATATTGATACAGCGTCCTCTCAGAACTATGATGTCGCTACTTCTAGCATGATCAATTCGTGGTTTAAGGAAATAATCAAGGTCAAAGCACCGTTTATAAATTTCACGCCTCAATCTGCGTACATGACGTCACGAATCTCAAAGTGTGTCCATTTTGCCGACATTGCCTCGACAAAATTTCCGGACACTTGATGTGTTAAATCTCTGGCCCCATCAGCAAACATTGTGAATTATTTCAACCTATCAGGAGCTACGTATAAGCTTTAGTAAACAGCGTCAAAATTTATGACATCACGACGTTTGTTGCAGGAATTTCAGAGTGCCGATGCCATTGGCATTTCGTTTTTTTTTTTACAATTCCTGTTTCATCATCATCATCATCAACCTGACTACGTCCACTGCAGGACAAAGGCCTCTCCCATGTTCCGCCAGTTAACCCGGTCCTGTGCTTGCAGCTGCCAATTTGTACCCGCAAACTTCTTAATCTCATCTGCCCCCCTAACCTTCTGTCTCCCCCTAACCCGCTTCCCTTCTCTGGGAATCCAGTTAGTTAGCCTTAATGACTAGCGGTTATACTGTCTACGCGCTACATGCCTGGCCCGTATCCATTTCCTCTTCTTGATTTCAACTATGATATCCTTAACCCCCTTTTATTCCCTAATCCACTCTGCTCTCTTCTTGTCTCTTAAGGTTACACCTACCATTTTTCTTTCCATTGCTCGCTGCGTCGTCCTCAATTTAAGCTGAACCCTGTTTGTAAGTTTCCAGGTTTCTGCTCCGTAACTAAGTACCGGCAAGATACAGCTGCTATATACCTTCCTCTTGAGTGATAGTGGCAATCTATTTCCTGTTTAGTGTCCCTTTAAAACAGCTACGCTGCTAAATGTGCCTCAGGGCAGCTTACTTGAACCCGTGCCGCTCCTCTCGTCGTGTCTGAGCATCTGGCAATGGCGTGTCGGCCATTTTCTTCAGGGTGAACCTTCCCCTGGTTCGTGGCAAGAAGAAGAGCAGCGTGGCGACGCACACCAAAGTGCCGGGCGGACTGCTGCTGGCGAACGCGCGGCTCGAGACGAGCACCGAGCAGAACGAGGTGTTCACCTACCAGCGTTACAAGGACAGCAACGTGCGCGACTCGCGCATCGCAGCCGAGCAACGAAGCAGCACCACGCTCGACAGTGACGCCGACGGTAAGTACGTCGCGCATGCGCGAAGCCTCCTCCGTTTCATCTCGCGTACTTATCGGCTCGTTTCGCTCGAAGTTGTACGAGCTATGATCGCTGATAAACTTCCGCACTTTATCAGCGATTCCCAAGAAATTTGCGTGAAACGAAATGGATGAAGCATGCTCTCTAATTAGCTCTGTAGAGGAACTTCCGATCACCGTGACACGCCGGACAGCCATGAGCTGAATAGAAACCTCACTTGTGACGCCACAGGTAGAGCGCTGCGTCGGTAGCGACAGTATATCTGGCAGAAGTGATGATAGCAAAATAGTGACAACCTGGAAGCAGTGCAGCGTACATTACTGTTTCTATCCGCCCCCCCCTTTCCCCACCCCAATGACACGGAGCAAACGCTGACAATGGCCGAAAATCGATAATTATGCAACGCCACCCAGAGTGACATCATTTTGATTCAAATTTTGGTCCTTGTAGGACGTCATACGTGACGTTTCTGGCGAACTCGCGTGACCTTCCTCCGTGTGACCGGACCTAAAGTTCTACTGTAGCGCTTTTTATGATATGAAAACACGCTGCATTCAGCGAAATGTTAATATTCTTGTGTTTTTTCCTGTGTGCCCCATCCTAAAACCTCTGCTACCACTATCCCACCATGATTTACATACTTAACATTCCCAAAGCTAGAGGAAAACCTAGCCCTACTTGTCATTTTTTTCTCGGCGACTTCTCAAGATGAATTGAGATGAATAAACTTTCTTTTTCCAGCAGTTGTTACTCTCTGTTCAACATGAATGCAGCATCTCATATATGACTCCCTCCCAGGAACCCATGTCACGGGCAGTATGGCTCTGGCTCTCCTGCTGGCAACCACGGGACTCGTCGGATGTTGCGCTGCGCTCGCCTGGTACGCGGCCACGGGCTTCACGCAGCGCCACAGAAAGGCAGACAGTCATTCACCACCTTCCCATGACAGCGACCCCACCACCGACGAGCCCAGCCCTCCCAGCACCACCGACACAACCTCAGTGGATGCCAGTGATCTGGAGAAAGAACAGAAAATAGACGTCGACGGTCGAGACGAACAGCTTGAGGAGGGCGAGTCGTGTGTGGTCAACTTCATTACCATCGAAGGCAAACCAGTCGCGCTGCTACCGGACTCTACAGCGAGCGAAGTGTGACGACACGCGCGTTTCCGTGCACAGTTCAGCTACGTCACCAGCGCCTTTGCCCTCCGGATGTCATCGAATGTCGCCCGCGCACGCACAATGTGTAACGCGCGAGGAGGCGACTGATACATTTCCTCATCAGCACATGGCAGCAGTTCCGGTGTCGAGAAGCATGACACCGGTTGCCTCACTTTATCCCGCCACTATTGATTGTCCTTACCATTTGACGAGAACTGACAAGTTATCATCGTGCCGTAATACCATGCGCCTGTTGTTGATGCGCTATAGAGAATGCGTCATTTTATAGATGCAGAAGAACACGACCATACATTTCAGTGGCCTTTAAGCTGAAGAGCTCAACGTTGCTGTAATCGACGTTGTGGTAACTCCTGGTGCAATAGTAGAAGCTTGCTAGCGCAACACAGTTTATGAACTCACCAGCGTTTATTCGAAATTGTAGTGATCAAGGAGTAAACTCTACAGGTTCATCGAACGTAGAACTCGCCTTGCTAATGTGGAATGTGTGCGTAAGGAGTAGGCAACTTTGTGCTAGTGTTTGTTTGTGCAGATGTGCTTGGTGTCAGCTTTACTCACAGTTGAAAAAGTTGAGAAGTGTGCTCATGAACCTTGTTTGATGATGAGGAGCTTTGAAGTATTTTCTTCAACTGTGGTATAACCGGCACCGTTATATGGGCTTGCACTTTTGCTCATGACACATTACTTTTAAACGTGCCCGCTACTACTAGCACATGTCGAATAGATGTCGACGATGAATTGGCCGCAGTACTTTTTCCGCTAGGTAATAATTCATATCTGCTAATTTCTATACTGTGACTGCTTTCGGAGAATGCGTTCAACAGTACACAATAGGTAATTTGCTTCGTTTGCCTCACAACTAAGTGACACATCACCACATCCAATAATACTTATGGCGTCATCCATTGGCGGTTTCGGAGTGACCCACGAAATCCACGCCGCAGCACTCCACTCTGACGGAGAGCAACAGAAGGGAATCTACCAATGGAACACACGCGCTACCCCTGGAGCAAATGGCAGGGTCAAAGTGTAACGCGATGCGTGCGTCTCTCTTCTTGCTTGAGTGGGTACAGCGACGCCACGCTAGCGAAACAAGAGCTCTGACGCGAGGCGCAACTGACGCGACTGGCGTCCGTTGGTGCGCCCCAAGTTGGCTCCGTTTGAAGAGGTTTCAAGGCACGGGGCGATTGCGACTTCCGGTCGAATCCGCCAATTTTTTCGGAGTAGAAAAAGTTGCTCCGTGGAGTGAATCACGCGATGGAGATGCTCCAGATCTGTCAATAAAACATACAGGGAGCACTCTGAACCTGCCAATGGAAGAGACTTGCTCCGCATGGAGCAGCAGAAAGTGTTACTGGAAGTGCTCCGAATCTGCCAATGGATGACACCACCAGCTATAAAACCTTTCGCTATTTACAAACACAGGCCCTTGATGGCATCCGATTTAGTCCACCGATGTGCCTTAACAGCATGGGTGGGCAAGAAGAGCTTTAGAAAATAGCCCGCTCATTTTCTACTTTCCTTCCCTTATTTGGCAAAATATATTCGAATAATTGTTCTTTTCAGCTACATAAAAACGGTAAGAAATTCCTTTGAAATTTACGCACGTTCCTTTTATCTGAAAAACTAAAGAGAAACTTCGCTTACATTTGAAGAAGAAAAAAACTTGAGAACGTGCTTTCAGTTTTGAAGTCGGGAGCTGGTAAATAAGGTGACCGGAAGTTTTTTGGGGCACAGGTCTTGAAACCGTCTATATTCTCACATTCCCTCAGCTAAAAAACGAGGCATCATAGCATTTGTTACAACGCGCTGAACCGATCCGCAAACCCATCGTTGAACCCGTCCGCGAAGGATAGGCACGGTGTGCACTACCAGCGCGAAATTAGTGCATCTACGTTGTTCTTTATTTTAAACGTTGAACGAAGCAGTTTCTACCCGGCAAGCCGGTACCATCAAGGTTACCATTACATTCTACTGCACTGATGTTGAGGCGGTGTTGGCGTGAAGGCCTTTGTGGTCACGTTTTTTTTGTTTTTTTTTTCACGTTTGTTACATTGTTCAGTTGCGCGAAAAAACACTCCTTAAACTTTATTTACACTTATTCCGCCGTTTGTACCTTGTACGTTTTTTTTTTCCTTTCGGCTTTTGCTACGAAAGTAGCTGGTTTAAGTCGATGTTCTCAGTTCAAGATTGTCCTTCGTCTGCGTGACAGCGTGGCTACCTAATTCAGCAAGAGTAGAGAGGTGAGCTAGACCCTCTTTGCTGAGCCTAAGCCTAGATATATAGAGCTACAAGAAAAATGCATGAATTAGCGAAAGCATGCCGACGGGATACCACGTGTCGACTCGTGTGTCGTATTGTACTAAAGAACGTGCTCACAAAAACAACCAGCACGTGATCCGACAGGCTTCGATGGAGGCCAAGAGCTAGAGTGGGCCGTGTGCTTAGACTTAGGTACTCGGTAAGAAACCCCAGCTGGTCAAAATATCTGGTGCCTTCCGCTATAATGCCCGTCATAATCATGATCCTGGTTTAGAGATGTGAAACTCCGAGAATTACTAAGAGCGAAGCTCTTCAGCGGGAGGTAAAACGTTGGGTGTCCACAAAAAAATAATAATAAATAACCTCCGCGCCGTTGTGTATCAGTAAGCAAACTACAGCTGCGCACCACACCTTCTAGCTGCGCATGCGCCGAGGAGCAGTTGCCGCCAAGTGATGCCCACCAACGACGACAGGGCGCGCAGCCACCGCACCAAGGTTGACCGACGTGGCGCGAGCCGAGTAGAAGCGTCACAAGGTCCATGCTTCCATCGCGAGTGCCACATCCAAATTTGTTCATTAGTTTCTGGCGTTGTAGTTTGTACATTCTCGCATGGTCCGTGACAGGTTGTGGTTCGACTCTACTCTGTCTACGCCAAGGAAATACCTACAGCGTTGGCCAGGAGGGCCACGTTAGGTTGCTAAGATTGACTAGCATCGTGACTTCTGGTGCCTTACACAGTGATTACGATGACGACGGCCTACATGTATGGCTCACACCTACTCTAGATTATTGGGAAAGCTTCTTCTTTTTTTTAACAGTTCCGCACTTCTGCGATCATATTCTTCAAATCTTATCAAGCTGTCCTTGTGCCCCGGTGGAACTTTCATGTGGAAGCTCGCACAACTTTGCGATATAATATAAACTGAAAAAAAAATACTGTAATGGTAATGATCGCTTTTGACCGATAGTGGCACGAATTTTTACGCCTAAACTATTACGACGAGTCGACTTCTAGCTTTCTCGTTTTGGCTATTTCCTGTACGTTTGCTCTACATTCTTGGAAGACTCGAACAGGGTGCCGCCAAACATAAGCGAAGATGGTTATGCCTGAATGGACAAAATGATCTATATCTGAACGTCCATATTACTTTTCTTAGAACTATATTGGTATTCCGTAATTCGGGAACTTAGCCTTCCTAGCTTGTCCAACTAGTTTGGCGCATTGCCTGATGATGCGATATGGGTGCATCATAATAAACAGCGCGTAGAAAAGGAGACACACTAAGGGAACAACTGCACAGTCAACAGAACTACACAATTGGTTATTATGCATATTTTGCGTGATGTTTTCTGCAATTCCTGTTTCACAAGACAGATGCAAACAGGACTTTTTGGCTAAAATTAAAAAAAAAATAAAAGTGCAGCAAGACCGCTAACATTTGCTTGATTTACCATCAATATTAGCGAGTGCGTTCTTAGCATCGAACAACTATGTTAATTTTGTGTGTTTTTTTTTTGTTTAGACACCCTCTCAAAGTATTCATCCTTAACACAAGCGAGGTATACATGACAGCCCAAGTTCTTTTGCTAGCTTAGCTATACATTACTGTCTAACATTCAGTACTTCCCTGCCGTACACGGCGTATGTTGACAAAAATGTCAACATACCTTACGCTGAGCACGCTTACTTCTTGAGAGCATAGAGTTTTCTAAATATACACTAGAGGGAAATCTGGTGCTATAGTGTCTATGGAAGCTGTAACGCATAGCGCTTCAGCGAGCATGAGAATTGTGGTTACGAGATGGATTTGCCCAGTCTTCGTACTTTACATTCCCTCTAGCTTCGCGTAGCTTGAAGCTGCTTAGTCACGAAACAACAATCGGCAAATGTTCGCCAGTTACGCTTCGCCACTTCAGTCTTTTTAGGCTTATCACTTCAAATTGGGTCACGAAGTGAAAAAACGGTTTGTTCTTTCCTTCGAAACAAAACCAAAACATGGCAGGAAACGAAGCCGCAAGTGTGTTTGCCACCCGCAAGTACGGAGGCTATAGGCAAACTCATGTGATACCCGTAACTACCATGGTCGCTGAGCGATCGCAGCACCACAGTCCCCTCTAGGTAATTTAAAAAAAAAAACTATGTCTGAGAAGCTGACCTAATGCACATCTTCAGCTCAATACTAAAGTTAGTTCAAGCACCCTGGCAGCTAAACGAAATGGCGTGCGCGGGGTAGCCAATGCCTAATTTTTTTGCTGTAAAAAATAAAATGTGTCATTTTTCCTCAGCATCTGGCGTACGCGGAAACGGAAACGCACAGGGCATATGCTTGCTTCCATTTCACGCGTCTCAAGTACATTTCATGTATAAAGCAGCGATTGTACCTGCCCGCTAGAGCGGTGTGTTGTTGGCTTAGGCGCGTGTAAGGATTACCTGTGTTACGTACCCTTGAGCGGCAGGGTTCCTTCGAACGCAAACTTTTCTCATCGATAGGCAAGTTCCTTGGATTTAATGAAATGTGAGGCTAGGTCGTTGCGAAACTTTATTAGAGCGCAACGTTTGTTTTTTATATAGGATAATTTTTTTTCGCAAATCAAGCTTGTACTTGCATTTCACATCAGTGTTAAACCTATGGGGTGAAGTTGGTCAGAAAACGCTCAAACAACGTCCTTCATTGTTAAAAATGTATCGTGCAGCATACTATACTCACGAGAGGGCACGAAATGCAGCGCAATTAACTAAAAAAAAAGGGCGCCAAACTCTCTATTGAACTTCAATGAAAACGCGTTACCACATTCAACTTCGAGTAAAGCAAGCACTGGGGGGAAAACAGGTGTACTGCCCTCCAATCAACTTAAAGGCTGAGCGTCCAAATGATGAGGTACCTGAACCAAAATTTCACCCGTACCAGTATGAAGTGTACAGAGATAGCTTCGAAACGCCGATATTCAACAGCACAGGAAAAGCTATAGTTCAAGGCAGCTGCACAAATACTGCCCGAACGCCATTATTCAACAAGCGCTCCGCCAGTCGCTCCATCCCGACATTCCCCGCGTATGCTCTATTTCGGAGATGCATTGAAAATGTGCGCCCGCACACATCGATCAATTCGCACTCGCTTTGTACGAAGGGGCAGAATACCTTGAAGTGCAAGAAGAATGCCCGCGTTATCGCAGCTGCACATTACTTTTATCACTTATGTCTTGAACCAAACTCACGCATTTCTCTTTACTTTGTGTATAAAAATGTATCACTGTTTGTGCTGGAATAAAACAGTTGTTAGTTTGCACTTTGTGTACATCTTCCGAGCCGGTCCTGTTGTTAGTTTGCACTTTGTGTACATCTTCCGAGCCGGTCCTGTTGTTAGTTTGCACTTTGTGTACATCTTCCCAGCCGGTCCTGTCATCCGAAGACGGCGCACCGAAACGCCAGCAACTTGCTCCGAACAAGCGCTCACCGCTACCTCGTTTCAATGATGTGGCAAGAGCCAACAACGAACAGATTAACGGAGTCAATTGAAGAGCTCGACAAAACATTCAGCAAACTTCACAAGACATTCAGCAAACTTCATTTAATAGAGAAACACTGCTGTAAGACAAATGTAAACATAAGCACGACGAACATCGGGCAATGCGTAGAAAACACGGCCAATGGCTTTCAGTACACCACCCTCATTAAAATGTCTGAAAAAATAAACACCTCTTCCAAACAACAATAACAACCAAAACAATGTAATAAAAACGTGTTATGATATTTATCCTACAGCGAACAATGCTTACATAAACACTTTTTGCATGCTAACAGTCAACTTTTATACAAGTGTGTTTATTTGGAGTGCACATGAACACAAAAAAAATTGACAACTCCAAGTTTTTTATACTAAGTACAAAAAAAAAACAACGACTAGGTGAACAGTGTCGTAACTGAGGTGACATTCTCTTCTTTGTATGCTTTTTTTTTTCTTTTTTTTTTCTTGCTCCGATTTTTCTCGGTCAGGCACGTTGACGCTCATCCTAACGCCAGTGCCAGTCCGCCTCTGGTTTAGGGCTGTGCTGTTCACACTGTTCAAAACGTGTTCAGGCCGTCTACAACGCAGCCCTCCTCAGCAGTACCACTCGGTGGACGACTGGCAGTTCTTCACCATGACCATCACCAGGAGGTTGGCAAAGAGCAGAAGCAAGCCAGCGTACGAGACGTAAAGGAAGTGATCCTGGCGTCGAGAGATGGCGCCCATCTCCTTGCACACCTCGCCGAGCTGTGTGGAACAAACAGGGCGAACGCGATAGTTTTTAACATTCACCATTCAAATTGACCGTCATCATCAAGACGGGTGATGCCAAAAAAGGTTAATCGCCACGTGATGACGTTATGTTATGACGTCATCGTGACGTCCAAATTTTTGTGATGTGATCATGACGTCACCACGGCGTCCGTCATCAGTGGCATCATTTAGGCATAGGTGTGCCGGTCCCCAAGGCAGCGCAGAACCCCGTTAGACTCGGAAAGCTTTCGGAGGGCGCCGAGAAAAATCAGTACGCGGACTGAGAAGAAAAATAAGAAGAGGTTGACTTGCACCTTCCGATTGTCTTAAACTATCTTACACGAACGCGTAAGAGATCCGGTGAGGTATTTATTTTTACTTTCTTTTTTTACTGCAATCTAACGCTCGTTAAAACTCATTTCTTGTGCACGAGAGCACTCAACTTCGACAACACCGCTTGCAAAGAGACTACGTACATTCGTTGCACAGACAGAACTTGTGTGAGCCCACCATAAAATATACACAATAGAGTGCGACAATTAGCGTAAAAGCATATAGAAGAATCGACAAGCATAGAAAAATTATGAAGCAGCAGTAGGTTGCACAGAAATAGCTATAATAATACCGCCTGAATGGTGTAGATGGTATTCACGCTCAATGCAGCGCATGAAAAAAAAAGAGATCGCACAGATGATATACAAGCTTGAAGTAGCATTGACAGGCACGATGGCGAGCTTCGAACAAGTCAAGCAAGGTGTGCAGAAGAAGTCCCATTGATAAATCCGCAATTTCCAGCAGTTTTAAAATTAAATTTTGGACGAGCAATCAATACCGCTGCGTCGCGGTGAAATAAACATTAAATTAAATTCATTTGGAATCCATATAATGTGTCTTCCTTATGAAAAGCCTTGAAATCGTATGTTGGTCGTCTATAAGATAAAAAAGTTTACCTATTTACAGACGTATTGTCATTAAGCTTTTCAGCATAATGATCGATATTGCATTTCAACCTAGATTCAATTGCGTTTTACCCTTTCACCCTATGCAGCACCCGTCAGGAATTCCACTTAGTCCTCGATAAGATAAGGTGCTTACCTGCTGCCGCGAATTTATGTATACGGAATTAGCAGTTCTCGTGCAAACTTTTAACTTATGACCACAAGGCTGCTTTCGATATATTGAATGATCTACACGTTTCTTTTTTTTTATTTTATAGTAGCAAAGCTTTTTAGAGAAGTCGGTAAATCATGATGCTAAGAACAACGCGAACGTAAAACACGGCACCCACTACGTGTCCTTCAGGGAACAGGTGCAGCGTGCGTCTTTTGCAGCAGGTTGCCAGCTTTAAACCGCGACGTAATTATGATTATCACAAGTTCTCACGCCCGATGGCAATGGGCGCTTGTACCACGCATTATTACGGCAATATTTAATGTTGTATTGTGAAGCATGTATACAGGACGTGTGTTTGTAGTGCCTGAGTGTTACTTTCACTGCATTTCCAAGCAGAGCAAGTTATTTCACTGCATTCAGAAGCAGACGAGTTGCCCTGTGGTAGAACTTACTCTTGCCACGCAAACGACCCCGGGTTCTATCTCAACTCAGACCCAAACGACGCCGGTTCGACCCCCACTCTGACTCGGGATTTTTTTATTAATTATTTTATTTGAATCGTTCTCGATTTTTCGGTCACGCGTAAAATGATTTTTCGCTCAAAGCCAACGAAACCGACGCCGGAATTTCTTCTAGACGAGCTGTTCAACGCTATCGCATTAATATGCGTCAACCACCAGCAATTATATTACATTCATTGAATGACTCAGGCTTGTGCCCACTGCCAAGGACCAAGCACTTCGCTTGCGAATTCCAAGTCGTTCAATGAACGGTACATATTTTCTTTTACATGTGGCAACCAGGAAATACACGTGGCGAAAGCAGGAAATCAAGAGTTTATAGTCAGTACTTGTGCCTTCCGCGTCCCATGCTTTACGTTCCCACTGTTTTTGGCATCTGCCTTCCTTATATTATTCCTATTGTGAATTTGGGTACGCAGTGTCTGTTCCTGTGTCTTCATGAAATAAAAAATATGCGAAAAGGCCGGATGAGGGGGCACAATTGGTTCTAGAGTGCCTATCTGTCGGTGCCACACTGTCATTCCTGTGCATTCGTTTCACAGTCCCGCTCTGCACCAAAGCGCCGAGTTGAAATGAGTTATTCTTTGTTCATTGCACCTTAAAGTAGAACATAGAACTCCTCAACAGACAGTTCGTTCGAATATATCCAAATAAGTATCTCGCCTATTTTCTTACCAGAAAATTTGAGCCAGCATAGTTCTTATGCTTCGAAAGAATGTTAAGCTTTGAGATGATAACTCATCAATCTGCATTAATCGGCACGCTTTCAGATTGACGAACAGTGAGCCGAAGTATGCAATTCGAAGAACGAGGTCCCTGTTCTTGCGATTGAGCCTCCGTTTCTCCGAGTTAACGGCGAATTCGGTCTCGCTGTACGACCCGCTATTCACCTGATTAAGTCGAGTGCAACCTGTAACACAAGCTGTAAGCGTGGCTGGAGAAAACTATCTGGTACGCCCACCAACCCTCATCTTCAAATCGGAAACACAGAGCCGCGGCTCCTTTGATGTTTCAATCAGGGCCGCGCTCGTACCACGCAATGGCGTCGCACAAAACTCTTCATTTGTTTTTTGTTTTTGTTTTTGTTTGTTTTGTAGAGGCTCTTTAAATTTTTAGCGGCTCTCGTGCATGCGCAGAACAGCAAGTGCGGAGAATGCGCGCATGCGTGCAGAGAAGAAATAGATTAAGTTCAGAGAGCACTGCACCTCTGTTATGTTCCGCGGAGTTGAAAATAAGCTAACTCAATACCAGCTTTGTAGAAGAGTCTAAGCTGCTGGTGTTCATCGCCCCAGCCCTGCAGGCGGCATCAGCGTTAACAACATCCAGCAGATTCAAGTTAAATGAAATGCTGGAGAATACTGGTAACGATAGCATCTTCTCTAACTGAAATACAGAGCTGTACGTCACACATTACTTGTAATCAATTTCTTACTTGTAATCAATTAGGTTTCCTCGTAATATTGTAATATAAGCGTTACTCTTCTGAACGCGTAACGGTCTAGCTTATTCAGTTACATTTCTAATTCTAATTTCTAATTTCAATTTCTAATTGATCACCGGTAATCATTAACATTTCTTTTTTTAATCAAGTTGTTGCCAGTATACTGCGGCATTTCTCGTCCCAAAAAGTGAACGACCGTTCTGTTGAAAACCCCGTCTTTTCAGCCGGGGGATCCCTACAGAGCCTCTTTTTTCACCTCTTCCTTGGCTTTGCCTGCAACGCCTTACCCGAGCGCCAGCAACAGTGAAGCTCGACGCTTAAGGACACGGACACTAGCGTCGAAGCGCTGCGCAACTACACCAGCTGCTGCGCCAGGGGTTCATAGATTATAACACCGCACTTTTCGCCATCGCATGACTTGAGAGAGCGTTCGGCCTACAGGATCTGACGTCTTAATGGAAAAAATGTAGAATAATAAGCGACGACAACTTCGCAAAACAACTCCTATTCAAAGTTAGCGTGTAACACTACATCGCAGAAGTCAAGGCATGCCTCCCAACCTTCCCGCAAGCCTCCGGCTATTTTCCTGTCATGCAAGCAACTGTAATTTGTTGTAGTTTACATAAGCTTGTGTTAATGCATTACGAAAATAAGTTTTCAAAGAAGGTAACGCGAATGTAGTTTGTTACATTTATAAAGTTGCTCAATTTTTCTGTGTTGTAGTCAACCACTATAATTCATTACATTTCAAAGAATTAATTGAAGTTCGATTGTTGCCTTATGCCGTGCAACGTGTACAGGCCTGTCAGCATATCATTCACCATTGGTGGCTTCCAAGTCGATCTCAGATCCGCACCTTCGCTGCCCTGGCATCTTGGTCGTTTGAGATTCTCTGTAGTAATGCAGATGTTATCACGGATAAATGCTCCCAAACCTCATCAAACACGAAACGTTACCACCGGTGTCGGCGGCTTCAACAATAACGTTTCATAAAATTCAAAATTAACTAAAGGAGACTCTGGAGCTGTTTTGTTCAGTGACCATGGCAATTATGGGTAGTACACGTATTTGCCTAGTCTTCGTACTTGCGGGCAGCGAATCGCACTTGTGGCTTCGTTTATTGCTGTGTTTCGCTTTTGTTTTGAAGGAAAGAACAAACCCTTTTTGAACTTCGTAACCCGATTTGAAAAGATAAGCCTAAAGGATTAAGGTGGTGAAGCTCAAATTCTGAGCATTTGCCGATTGTTGTTTCGTGATAAAGCAGCTTTAAGCCACGGTAAGCCATCTGGAGCCGAAAGTGCGAAAATTAGACAAATCAATGTACTACCCGTCATTTCCCTGCTGTCTAAAGCACCGTGCGTTGCAGCTCCCAAAGACACTTGCCCCAGAGTTTCCTCTAGTGTATTTATATGGTAAGTACGGCCTCTAAAATTGGCGCGAAAAATTATCACGTAATGACGGCATCATATGCCGTCGTGATGTCACTACTGACCACCGAAATTACTGACGGCATCATGAGGTCACGAAACGTCATCGCATGACGTCGTCGCTTAATCAAAGGTCGGCTTATCCCAGAGGTGCTGCAAAACCACATGAGATGCAGAAAGCTCATGGAAAGCAGAAAAAGGTGGTTTTCGCCCTACGGTCAGTTTGAACAAACGCATGGGGCCTTGAGGTACCACGCGACTTTTTGGCGAGGCACGTACCTTGTTCTGTACTTCACCGACGACGTCTTGGAGGATCTCGAGCTGCGTGGAGGTGCCAGGAGAGGAGGGCTTGGGTGGGCAGAACGACTGGTACGACTTCTCCTTGCCGATGACCGACTGGCGCGGTCCGGTGGTGCCGGAGCGCGAGGTCACCTCCTTCAGCTCGGACGTCGGCTTGTTGGTAGGCCGTGCCCGACGCATTGACGCAGCGCAGCCTGCTCGCAATGCCACAAGAGTATAAATAACACAAATGCAGGCAACTGGCAAAGAGTTTACGTACGTTATCGTTGTCACTACTTGCTGGCGGCTATTTATGAGGGTCGATATGCGGTATAGTTGGTAGACGTTCATTTCAACAACGCACAAAAGGATGGAACAAAAAAAAAGAGAGAGAGAGAAGAGGTCAAGCGGTCAACAACAACAAAAAAAAGACGCTTGTCCTCTTATCAGCCCTCGTCTGTCTCCTTCTCTCTCCTTGTCCCAGTTCATTTATGCGCTGTCGAAAATCACGTTTACTTATGGTTCAGTGGCACAAGAAGTCAGTGAAGAACAACGCCAACGAGCGAAATGCGAGTTTACTTACGTGCTGACAAGTGGTTACACAGTCCTTAGAGTTACTGGTTAAGTTTACTTTGACGAAATGAGCGCCCCCCCCCCCATAGGAACATTAGTTAAGCTGTGCTTCACGGATGATTTTGTTTTTTAGCATATAGCCCCCACACGAAAAAAAAAGTCAGCGTGCGAGTTGCACGAAAATGTTGGTTTGCAGAGTGGTTTTATGGCAATGCTTCGAAGCAATGCTAGAAAGATGAGTGTCATAGTGGTGGATGAACGTGAGAGTAGGTGACGGGTTCATTGTAAAGTACAGGACGCTCAAACAAACACATAAAAACAATGTCAAGACACCGCCAACACCGTGACACCCTGAACACCAGTGAGCGAAAACTTTGAATTAAATGGAGGAGGGCTGAACATCGCCGAGGCGCAGATCACAGCGTTCATTTTTCGAAAGAGTTCGCTGCACTATATTCATATTTTGATTTTGTGCAATACAATCGTGGTGCACAATAAAAAGTAGTTTGGTATGATGAAGCACTAGAAAGAACGGAGTCTTTTGGAAGAACACAGGACAAGGCGCTACTAGGAACTGAAAGTTTCATTTAGAAACAACACCCCCATAAAAATAAAACAAATGTACCGTATTTACGCGCACAATTTGCACCCTCGCATAATTTGCGCGCCCCTAATATAAGCCAGCTTTTCGGGGAAAAAATTGGCCCAAATCTACATGTTACACTGTAAATGTCGTCGGAAGACGATAGTCTTGGGTCTGGAGAGAGTGAACAACACATTTATTTGATGTTCTGCGCAAGAAAATTGGTGAATGGTATTCTGAAGGCGCTGCGTTAGATTGATTGATTGATTTGTGGGGTTTAACGTCCCAAAACCACCATAGGATTATGAGAGACGCCGTAGTGGAGGGCTCCGGAAATTTCGACCACCTGGGGTTCTTTAACGTGCACCCAAATCTGAGCACACGGGCCTACAACATTTCCGCCTCCATCGGAAATGCAGCCGCCGCAGCCGGGATTTGAACCCGCGACCAGCGGGTCAGCAGCCGAGTACCTTAGCCACTAGACCACCGCGGCGGGGCGGCGCTGCGTTAGAGTGCCTCGAGCGTGTAGCGGAGGCGAACAAGCGCATCTAGGCACGTTAGACACGAGCGCCATCTGGCAGTTATCTTCGAAAACGAAGGCGTACGCTACCGCGGAGAAAGATGCGCGCCAGTCTCGGAGGTGATAAGGTGTAGAATAGAAAGCGACGGGCAGGTGCCACCACCGTGTCGTCGTAGCAAAGCGTTGGAAACACCTTCTTGAGCATCGCGCTGCGCTGACAGTGCAGCGCGATGAACGCTACAGTCCTTAGAGTTACTTGTGTGTGCCTGTTCTAGTATAAAGGCAGACATACTAAACATAGACGTGTTGTTGTGGCGCCTCAGATATGCGCAATATTTGCTTTTTTAGTTGACAATCGCACAATTATGAACGCTAAACCTTGAGCAATATTGGTGAACGCTGCGGATGGGGTTGGCCGTTTGGTGCCGTTTTAAGTATTGTTAGGGCAGACAAACAGACGGATGTACAGACAGACAGACAGACCAAAATTTTTCGGTCGAAGGTCCTAAAGAAAGACTATCATCTTTAAAAATATTTGCTCGCATATTTCGCGCTCCCCGACCCGCACGAGCCAGCTCGCCTGCGCCAGCACCTTTGGACATTTCGATGCTTCGGCCGGGTGGGCGCCTCGCCGAGCAGACGAGCGCAGTCAAACAGGCTGCGACTGCGAAGTCCTTTCTTCCGAGGACTTCCCCCGAACTTTGGTAATACCGCACCCGAACACAAACCTGTTGACGGGTCGCAGGAACTGCTCGAGCGTTCGGCTCTCTCCCCAACTCCTAATCTCTACCTCCCCGATAATGGCGAGAATGCACACTCGCGCCACGGCACGGACGATTTTTTAGATGCGGAGCATCTTATACTCGCGCCTTGTAGTGCGCCGTCCGCGCCATCCGCACCGCTTCTCGAACATTCGACAGCTGACGCGCGCGCATGCGCCGTCGCGCCGTCGCCCACTCTTCCACCATCTGTGCATCCCTTCCTCCTCTACACACCGCGCGTGCTTCACTCCTCCACCATCTGTGCACCCTTCCTCCTCTACACACCGCGTTCGACATCTACAATTCTCCTGATTCTCCAGTGGACGCGCATGTGGCGTCGCGCTTCGAGAACATTCAACAGCTGACAGTGCATGCGCCGTCGAGCTGTATATATACTCAAGGTCGGCGCTCGCTCGCTCAGTTGCCGCTCGTCGGTTGGTTTGTACGGCGCGTCGACGTCCAAGGTCGCGGTGAAATGAATTCCAACGAATCCACAAACACAATGATCGACGTCCCTTCGACCAGCGCCGCCCTTTCGCATACGTGTGTACGTGTTCCCTCATTTAACACCCCCTCTTACAACCACGTTAACCAATTTAGCCATCGACCCAAGTAAGTCGCAATTTAACACCCCATTTCACAACCACGTTAACCAATTTAGCCATCGACCCAAGTAAGTCGCACTTTAACACCCCGTTAACCAATTATATGGTCCGCATCCTCCTCAGTGTTCCCCCGAGGGAAGCTGCGGGCAATTTTTTTGCATCGGAGGCGTTGAGGGCTGGTCGCGCCAACTGTTCCCCTCGGTCTGTGCGTCCACGCTGCAACGCACGCTTGGTCCATTTCGACTGCGCCGTGCTCCCGACCGGGTTGCAGAAATTAGGTGCCTTTTCTCATCTGCTAACCACTACCGCCACCACCATTTCGGAAGTTTAGCTTTCGCCATCCGGCAAACGAGTTTTGACGGTTCCCTTGCGATGTTCTACAGAAACTATGTATACGGCGAAATTAAAACTCGCTGTTGCCAAATTTTGCCGAAGAAAACTGGAAGCGTGCCGCCGCAAAGCACTTCCGCAGGACGTACTTCAGCGTGACTACCGGTGCGATCCGCGAAAACGATAATGCGTTTTTGCTAAGGCACATTACGTCCCGCAAATGTCCACTGCGGATTTTAGTACGTTTCACCCCGTAACAAGTCTGCATTGAGGCAGAGCTCATTTGTGGCTGCAGTAGAGAAGTTGTTGAGATAGAAGCGGCGTGGCGCCTTAGTTTCGCCATCCTTAGCCAGGGAGAATTAAAAGGCAAATATTTCACGTTGCATGTTGCGTTCTCTTATGACTTTCACCCTTTCCTCCCACTGCAAGCGGTCTCTACTTCCACCGGTTCATAAGGAGTTCCTCGCAACATCCATGGCTGATAAGCACTGCACTCGATTAATGTGTTAACTATACGAAAGCTTCGCTTTAATAGAAGTTCACTACAGATTATCACTTCATAAGGCATTACAAAGATGTATGACATGGCTATATTGCTAAAACGCAGTGCTTTTGAGGTGAGCAACGTCAGTCCTCTTCGCTCACTCACCGGTGTTCTTTGATGTTCTCCTTGGCGACAGATCTCCAGTGGTCAATGAGCTCGCGGGGGCTGATCTCCAGGGTTTCGATCCCCGTGGTCATGATGAGAAGCTTGTCCGATGCGTGGAACTCCGAGCCTGTGGCGCAGCGAGATCAAAAGAACGCGCTTGAGCCCGAGAGACATTTCCGGTGGCTTCTTTTGTGTAAGGAGAGCCACGTCGCTCGACCAGTCAGTGTAAACAATGACGTTAGTAGTGGCTGTTTAACTAAAGAGCAAGTGTGGGCCGGACACAATGCGGTTCAGAGTAAACATCCCATGTTCACCGGTGTAGTCAGGTACGCAGTACGAGCGACAAATTGAGCCACTACATTGTACAGACGCGTCCGCTGTTAAAGGGAACACCTGAGTGCACAACATGTTTAGATTTCACTATCTTACGGAAACATACTAGCTTGTATATGCAAAATACTACAGGTGGTTGAAATTTTTCACTCGTCATAACGCATTAGTTATGCGCATGCAAATTCTTTTCATAACCGTTTGCTGTTAGAGGGCCAGCAATATCGATGTTGTGCATCTGAGAGTTCCCTTTAACAGTGGACGGTACTGTACATTTTGATGGAACTTGCAAAGCCTAAGCATAAACGTTTGGTTAGAACGCTAACTCTGGCAGATAATACAAGCAGTCGCTGTGCGGTTCTCAGCCTTTCTTTTTCAGGTAATATCTTCTAGATTACGTAGTTCGGGATCTGTGTTCTGACTAGCAAGCTTTGCATTTTATGAGCCGGGAATTGCGCTAGATAATTCTTACATAAATCAGAGTACGAGAGGCTGTCAGTGATAAGTTAGATGTAGTGTATTTAGGAACAGCGACGGATGTTTAATGACCAACGTAAAAACGTTCCATTCAGTTGTTACAGTCGTGTGAACTATTTAAAATTTTCGTCCTTTTAATCCGGTAAGCTTTGGTCAAATTTCCGAGGCTGTACCATCATAGAAGCATTTGTCTGATAAAGTATGAAAGTACAAAAATGAAGCACTCACGCTATATTAATGCAAAACTACCTTCTTTTTTACTACTGCTGAGGTATACGAAATGTAGCTTTCACCGTAGCTTCACTAATGATCATTGTTACTGATGAAACCTTTAGTAATAATTGGCAATAGATTAACGAGGTTTAAGCCCAGCAGCTAAGATGAAGCATGCCGTAATCAGAGACATAAAATTAGTTTAGCCCACCCGACGCTGTTTAACATGCACCTAAACCTTAGCACACGATCGTTGTAACAGCAGTTTGCTGTTAGTTGAAGCTTTGCCGTCTGATGGCGTATCGCTGATCACGTGGCATCGCAGAGTGGCTAGAGTGAGGCTCCGTAAGAAGGGAATGGTACGCCGTGCAAAGAGTGGCGAGGGTGAAGATTGACTGACTAAACCAATGAGTGAGGCACCAGGGAGAGGGAGAGTGATGACTCGCGCAAAGAGAACCAATGAGAGCCGCGTCGAGAAAGGGCGAGTGTGACGCTCAGCTAGGGAATCCGGCGGTGCATCGAGAAATGGGTCAGTGGGTGTCGCGGTGGTGCGTAAACGAGGGCGTTGCACTTCATGTTTTTTTTTTTTTTCAATGACCAAGACCTTTCCCGAGGAAGATGCCACGCGACGACAGCGACAGCTGACACCGGAACGGGCTGCCGAACAAGTGTCAATGAAGTTATGGCTTGAAAATTTCCTTTTACCTAAATGTAAAACTTCCTTTTACCTAAATGTAACACCAATTATGGTAAAATGACGTCCGCCTTCGCGGTCATCAAATTGTGTAATAACCTGCCCTATACACTAAAATCATCGTCATCTTTTCATGCATTCAAACGTGATCTTAAAAACTTCATCTTGCATAACTAGGTTGACAACGATGATTACTTAAGGCTTCTTATGTATCCGGGCATGAAATTGGAAAGACTTTGCAAATTTAGGTTATTGCCTTATGGCGTGATCATGTTTTAATTGTATAACTTATTACTATTGTTCTTGTGTCGCATTCTGACTGCCTTTTTTGTTTACTTGATGTTATTTTATGTAAGTTCACTGTTTACTTTTCGCATGTGTTGCGTATTTTACGTGCTGTTGTAATTATTAATTTTATTGTTATTGTTAACCGAGGGTCCCACTGCAGTCGCTTGACTTTGGAACCCTTGTCTGCATACTACATTCTACGAATTTTGTATTTTGAATGAATGAATAAACTGAATGAACTGAACTGAACTGAAAAACATAGGAGTACGATAGCTCGGTGAAAGAGGAGCACCAGCTACGCTGTTGCGACAGTGTTCACAAAGGGGAGCTGGCCTTTATTATTATTATTATTATTATTATTATTATTATTATTATTATTATTATTATTATTATTATTATTATTATTATTATTATTTGCATGTTCCCTGTATCGAAATCCGGCGCTATGGTCGGGCTCAACTGCACCGCGCCTTATTCCTGAAATCTCAAGCAAACAAGCCTGTAATAGCATCGTCAATGCTAGACGTTTTCCATTCCTTCTGGTTACTGTCCTATACGGTTAACTAGCTTCTTAAAAAGGCTCGAGCGGTTTGAACTTTTCTTTAAATTACTCACCTGGATTTTGGGCCACATTGACGCTCACAGTGCTGTTAAGTGGAATGATTCCAAAGAAGGGCTTGACCTTGTATCCGTCGATGTTATTTGTCTTGATCTGGAAGAAACATTCAGAAGAATCCGGTTAAATCAATAGACTTCACTATTTGAAGACTCTTGATGATTGTTGGGGTTTTACATCCCAGAACCATTGCAATATAATAAAATGACTGTTAGTGTTTAACACCCCGACACATCGATATGATTGTGGGAGACGCCGTAGTGGAGGGCTTGGTGTTTTTTAACGTGCACCTGAATTAATCTACACGGGTCTCAAGCATTTTCGCCTGCATCGAAAATGCCCCTTCCCCCACATGCCCAACACAAACACACACACAGATGAATGGCTACTATAGTCAAAACGTCCTGTTCAGCGGCAATTCCTATTTCAACAAACTTTCATCAATTCGGGCTTGCACCTTTCCGTGAACGTCTGTCTCATTTCGACAGCAACTAAAGTTACATTGGCACATGTTTTTTCTTCAGTCCCATCGATCATGGCGCGTCTGCGTCTACATGCTGCTCGTTGCCAATTTTCCTGCATGCAAGGTTAGTTTCACGCAACGCAGTACCGGCCAAGCGATGAGAGCACATCGTACCTTGAACGCGACGTGGCTGTCGGAGGTGTTGGTGAGGACCAAGCTTCCCACATGCTTGTTGACGTTCGGCTCGTCGGCGCCAAACACGAGGTCAGTCTCGGGCCTGTCGTACGGTCCGCGCAATAAAAACGGAAAACATAGAAAGAAACAGTCAGAAAACACGTGAGCAAGTCTGTAGGAGATGGCAAGCGCCAGCGCACCAAAGATTACCAGATAACATAAGAGAGAGGCAATCCATATATAGAGCCAAAATCTGTCCACCCATTCGATTTTGCTCTGTTTGACTCGTCTAACACTGTCACGCAGCTGTGACGCTTAAGGACGCCGCATGAAGACAAGGAAATACGAAACGTATTTGTGTAAACCTGTGCCCGCGAAATGAAAAGTCAAGGTACAAACAATTCACGCTGTAGAACGATAGCACGTCCGCCATCGGCAATATCATCGGCAGAACGCCGATGTCTTTTATAAGGCAGTCATCTAACCGTCCAGCAATTTCGCTGGTCCTCGCGCACCTTTCGTATAAACTTTACTATTCGCTTCCTCCGCGTAATCGTGAGAGAATAATCCCAAACAGTCTCTAACCTCCGTATTCACAAACGCTCTTCGACTCGACTTTCACCCTTCACTTGACAGAGTTGAGCACTGCGCCACCGCTCGGCTGAAGATGACGCTGGGATACTCAAGAATCGCAGCAGAATATCGCTGATGTGCAGTGATTGTAGTGACTAGAGACGGCCCTCGCATTGGCTTTCTCAAGTGAGGGTGGAGTGTTGAGTGAAGGGACGTTCTAGAATACGGGGGTAAGGTTCCCGAGCATTACGGCCTGCAGTGTGCACCGAGCGTTGCTGAAAGTATGTGGCTGAAGGCAGTCATTCATATTGAAAAATTCATATTGAAATATTCATATTGAAAAAAAATGAAGCAGTAAACGCGCGCGCCAATATAAACGAGGCTCTCGAAAAAGAGTCCCTCGTCATACTTTCATTAAAAGCGAGGGCCTTGTGGTACGGCACATTTCGAGCCTTAGGTTAGTGCACAAGGTTCTATTCCTCAGCCGCAATCTCTAGAAGCGATCACATGGCCCGTTATACCCTGTGGCAAAAAAAGGGAAAAGAAAGAAAGTACTCCACGCTTGCCACCAAGGCTAACAGCGGCTCTGGCTAACGCTCTCAGAGATTTCACGCTGGCCAGCGAGAGACCAGCCGAGTGATCCACCAGGCCCGCAGGGCACCTGCAGCAAGCGAAGTCCTGGACTGAGGGGCCCTCCACCGCAAGCCAAGATAATTCGACTACTCAGAGCTTCTCCGCAGAAAACGTGCAGTGACTACATAGATAAGTTTCCACCAGCACCAGAGATTACACGCACACACACATCCTCGGCGAAACGGACGGGTAAATGCCTTCCGACTAGGCTTAATTGGTCGAGCATTGGACGCGTAATTCGAAGGTTCTGCGTGCAGATGCCAAACACAGAAAAGATGACTCTCCGTCCACTTCAGTTCCTTTCTATGTAGCGTCGCGATTAGTATACACTACAGATGAAGAGAGCAATTACATCCTCTGTTATTCTTGGCCTTTATTGTTGCTTCAGGTTCATTCGGCTGGGTCTAACATATGAAAGGGCCCCTCATAAAAAGTTTGATTTTCCGTTCAGCCGTGTAGACTTTACGACTGTCAGAAGAAGAACACATAATCGAGTCACATTCTGCTTTAGTTCGGCGTTCTGGGTTGCAGCAGAGCGAATGTTTATTTGGGCAATATAATAAAGTCTACAATTCATTTACTGCAATGCCTGAGGTTGTGTATATGTTACTGTTCGGTCGATGCCCTTCGTTATAATAATGGCTTTTTGCTAAAAGGCCGATAAGAGTCTGCGAACAGCAATGCACAAAATGTACTATATACAGTACCCCATCTAAAGTACTGTCGATGTACAGTCTGGGCGTATTTTATGGACAAAGCCTTTAGTCTGAAAACAACGCAGCTGTCGATTTCACGTCTGCACAAATATACTATTGTATGACGTTTACTCTATAAGTGTTCTGCTTTACGAATGCTCGCAAATTTCATAGCCTCATTCGCATACCATCGCTATGCACTCAAGGGTTCAACAGAGTTCAGATCTTCACGTGCGACTGCCTGTTATTATAATTCATATTGTGCTAATCCGGGCTAATGCAGCGTAATAGCGTATTGTGAAAATTCGAGCTTTTTTTTGGGGGGCTAACTTGAACAGAGTTAGGATCTTCACGTGCGACTTCCTATATTATAATTCATATTGTGCTAATCCGAGGTAATGGGGCGTAATGGCGGATTGTACACATCCTAGCTTCCTTTTGGCTAACTTGATACAAGAGACGTTCACGGCAAAGAAGGTCATCATTTGAAATAGCTTAAACCTCCATTACTCTACGCTGACCAGTTTTTGTACATTGACTTCACATTGCCAAAGTAAAAAAATTAAAACCAGGCTTTTCAATGAAGCGTTTACTTCTAAACTCGCAGAACTGATCTCCGGTCAGGAGATATTAAAGTTATAAAATGCTTCCCAAACTCGTACAGCGCCAAATATATATATATATATATATATAGTAATATATATATATATATATATATATATATATTATATATATATATATATATATATATATATATATATATATATATATATATATATATCGGCTTATCCAAGAAGCGCACGTTTGAAACCTCCCGCCAAAAATACTGCGTTCAGAAGCGAAGACCCCCATCTGAATGTTTTTTTATAAGGCGAAGCATTTCTTAGCGAGCTTCGGCGACTTTGAGCGTAACTATCTATCTATCTATCTCTCTATCTATCTATCTATCTATCTATCTATCATCTATCATCCCCCGACCGCGAACAAATTACGGACTCCAAATGCTAAAGCACTCTGTTCCCCATATACTAAATAAGTTCAAGCTCACAGAACAGCAATTGCGTCTCCTTTCAAGTAGTGATATATTAAACCTGTTTGTATAAGGAACTATAAACCCAGAAAAATTACACCCAGTACTTGTAAATGCATGAAATTTTAAGTGTACCCCTTTCTGTTATAGCGTCTTATATTGGTTGCCTTTTTTCCCAAAAATTGTTTGTTTGTAAACACCCAAGTGTGCATCTATTCTGTACTTCATAAACAACCACTAGAATGTTATTTTCTTTTCTTTTTTCTTTCAATCATACGTGAGCACCGTATGGAGCTTGGTGTGCCATTGTTTCTGTTGCCTTGTACAAATGGGAGGTGGGGCTAGTCAAGCTGCTATAGCGCAGCTTTTTTCCTACTTTCCATGCCACAATTGTTTCTTGTTTGTGTAAATCACGGTGTATCGTTGTGGTGAAATAAATTTCAACTTTCAACTTTCAACTTTCAACTTTCAATCCATCTATCCATCTAGCTAGCCGCCTACGACTTTTAGTTCTCCTGGCCGTTTGGGTAATGGTATCAATACCAAACTTGGTATGGCATAACATGACTGTATTACGAGCATATTTGACTAGTCGTAACAAGAAAATGATAATATTGATGTCATGAATGTCATGACTTACATTTCATGGTCCTGCAGCTCTTACGGTGGTTTCGTTCACATGGCATGTTGCAAAACTGGTATGGTATGGCATGATTGCATGGCGAACACAAGCGACATACCCTAACATGAAAATAATTATATGCGCGTCATGTAACAACATGACTACATACCATGCTCACGATGCGCTCGCAGCCGTTTCGCTAGCGTCACATATACCAAATCTGGTATTACGGGTTTTGAATGAATGACGAAGGTATGATACTGGTGTAAGTATGATAAACATAAGATGCGTGTCATGTAACACTATGAGCACACGTTACGCTCATGATGCGCTCCCTGGCCGTTTCGCAAGCTTCACATGTACCAAGCTCGGTATTACGCGACCGAACGGACGACATAGGTAAATGACACATCTAAACATAAAAATCCCGACATGCCTGTCATGTAACAACATGACTGCATGCCACACTCATGTTGCGCTCGCGGCCGTTTCGCTAGCTTCATATATGCCAAATCTGGTATTACGTGACGTCCATGGACGACAAAAGTATGTGACTGGTGCAAACACGATAATAGTGAGATGCATATCACGTGAGAACATGACTAAATGCCACAGTCAAGGCACCAATACATTTAGACGCGACGCGGTGCGCGTGCTCGCCGGCGTTCATTTCGTCGCGTCACGCAGGCGTTGCCACGCCAGGCGTCGGTCCTGCCATATACTCGCAGGCGCGCGCCGCACTGCGTTTCTTTGACGCATGCGCGTTTCAGCGCGTCTCGCGTCCATCCGTCACGTAAAGAGGGAGAATCAGTGTTGTCTGGGTAACGCATTGGCGCGAAATGCAGCATGTCGCATTTCGCGCCGGTTGCCTTCGGGCCGCGCCGATGGACGCTGGTCGCGTCGGTCGTGCCTGGCGTCAGACTATGGAGTGCTTGCGTTTTGCTAACGTAACGTCTCTGTGCCCAGCTTGGGCGCACGTCAACGCTACATTGGCGTATATCGGGCCCTTCATGATGCGCTCACGGCCGTTTTGCTAGCCCCACATATATCAAATTTGGTGTTACGTGACGTATATGGATGACGAAGTATATGACTGGTGCAAACATAATAATCCTGACGCGCATGTCATGTAAGAACATGATAACATACCACGTTCATAGCGTGCTCGCAGCCATTTCGCTAGCTCCACATAATAAATTTGGTATCACATAACGTGAATAGATGAAGAAGGAAAGTAATACATTCAAACATGATAATCCTGACACGGAAATCATGTACGGCATCATTTTCCTCCACCTCGTAACGTTGTGCTGACTTTAAAGTGTCACATCAACCTTTCTCATTCGTGCTTCGCATATCATCGATTCCCACTTTCCGTGGGATCTGCCTTTTTTTTTCGTTTTTAATATTCCTCAAAGTAAGAAAAGTCGTTCACCCATAAGGTAAGCATGCTGCGCTGTCCAGCAACGTCGGATTACCGCCGCCTCTGCCAAGACATGGCTCCCTATAAAAGCTGAACAGCCCTGTCAGACCCTTTACATAACGTAGGCGATATATTTGCATGTACCCATCGACCCACATATTTCGTTTATAGTCTAATAATAACATAATAAATAATTAAGTAATCAAAAATGGCACCCAACGGATGATTCAAAAATCGCCCAAAATTTCAAAAGTGCACGTACGCAGCGATTGAAAACTTACACCGAGTAAATTGCGGCTTCTTGGTGTAGTCGACGAAAATAGGTTTCAGTAAAATGAGTTTGGTCAACGATATTGGTTTCGAAGGTGGCAAGCCAATTAAAATCCCGCTCTCTGTTGGCTTACACCCTAGTCGGCGTTGAGGACGTTAACATTCGGCGGTGAGAATTATAAAAATAATGGAAAATATCATTTCGCTACCGGCACAAAGATACAAAAAGGAGTGGCTTCTTATTCATAAAAGCAGTGAATTTACTTCAACCATAAACGGCGAATACTGTTGCTGCATTTCCGCATCGAGAAGCATTCAGAAGCTTGTACGATGTCTGAACAAACTACTCAAGAAGTCGTTCTAATCTTTCAGTATAAAGGATAACCAAGATGCCGATCCGCGCTGAGCCGTGTCCCTGAAAGCGAAGCACCCTTTGTCGGGCAGGCCCAGGCATACTTAGCAAGTCCTTCCCCACCGTTTGCATAATCTTCGTCGTCTATTTACGGTATTTAAAGCAAAGAGCGCTACACGTTCACCAAGTGGCTTTTCGGCTGAAGGGAAGTGCGCTGTCGAGCAGACGCACGACGTTGTCGTGGATTAAAGAATTGTATCCTCGATCGCGTTTGATGGATGACGCTCTTCAAGAGGCCCGCAATTCCTTGCAACTGTTTTTAGCACAAAGCAAATCTGTGTATATAGCGCGAACACTGCTGTGCACTATACGACGTTTCTGTTCATGTCAGACTTAGTAGGGAGCCTGTAGAGTTTATATACGATCAGTGCCGTACCAACTCTTGCACGAGTGGGGGGGCTAACCTACTGCACTCGTCAGTTAATATATATATATATATATATATATATATATATATATATATATATATATATATATATATATATATATATATATATATATATATATATATATATATAGTATATAGTATATAGAAAGAGAGAGAGAGAGAGAGAGACAACTTCTTTGACGCGCTTGCACTTTCATATCATTTTTCGTTCACACAGCACTTGTTCAATAGCGTAAAAAAGGACAGTGAATTTTAAGCAGCATGCACTGGGACAACACGTATATGTTTGTCATTTATGATGCACAGAAGAATATTACACGTGACACTTCTTATGCGTTACCTCACAGCTTTCCGCATGAATACAATTACGTTATTGACGGCCTCCTCAACAGTAAATATTTTATCATTGAACGAAATTATAAATAACTAAGAACAGCTCACAAAAGAATTTCGTTTGTAAATGTGACGCACTCCTTGAGGAACCAAAGGTATTTTGAGCGTTTCTATCTACTTATTTTAGCTTTTCACTGAGCTCGAGTTCACTGCTTTATTCATCGCCGCTTCGCAAGCTGCCTTCATCGCTCCAAGTTGCCGTAAACAATTAAGGCTATCAGATTTATCGGAGATCAAAGCGAAAACCTTTCTTGGCGCTTCCAATACAGCAAAAACTTAAACAGTTAGAAAGATTCGTTGCAATAATCAGCTCACAGCAGCTTCGGTAGAGCAGCGGTGATGCTAACTCTTTTCAATCAAAAATTATCTTCCTCAAGCAGTAAATGCCTTGAGCGGTCCATAAAAGGTTTGTTCGTTCCCATTGATAACTGCATCGGCCAGTCCCAGCAGAATAAAAGCATGAACAAGTGATGTAATATCATAGTGCCCTCCCATAGTAGAGTACGACGTACTCTAAATCGTTAAACACTTTTTCTAAACACATATCATAGTGCTACTGTTCAACGCTAGCTACCTGTGCAGTGCTACAGCAAGCGACGCAAAAAACCTTCATGGAAAATCATCACTGCTGAAATGTTCTAAAATCATCCCTATGTTGTTACATTCCCTCGTAATATTCTCATTTTCACGTAACGGTACAGTTGAGTGAATACAGTGGTGAAGAAAAATTTCGTCTTAGTTATTGTTTTCCAGAGCGTCCAGCTGACAGCGACCATTGTCGACAATAGGGGAGGGGCTCAGCCCCCCCCCCTTACTTTTCTCAGTGACGGGGGGCTTGCACCACCCTTGCTCCTCCAGCTGGTACACCTATGTATACGATCGTGTTAAGGTTTATTTCTTTAACAACTTATAATGCAATACTAGCGTTCGCCTAACGCCGGCAATGATTTCTGCTTAATGTCCTACTTAGAAACACGTAAACAACAAAGCTACTTTTAACCGTTGTGGTCGGCTTTTTATCTCGCTTCAGCCAGATTTCTCTAAAAACGGATCCGATACTCACAGCAGGCATTCAAGAAGAGTCACGTTAAACAGACGGGGCACGAACTGAGCCATGATATTTGGCACCAGTCCATAGACTATTTTACGGAGCTGAAACGTTTGGTGGCTTATTTCCGTAGTGTGGTCTCCGCAAATGGTTTTCGGCGACAAATGTCACTTCCATTGCAAGCTACATCGTTGTTGTTTAAACTGTGTAAACGCATGTGTGACGTTTGGTTGAAGTAGGACCTAATTCCATGCATAAATTACAATTTTCTTATAGCTCCTCGGGAAAACAAAACGTCACGTGCTCACAGCCCCGATGGGCACTCGTTGGTTTTGCCCACCAAGTTGTTCTATTCAATCGCTGAAAAGCTCCGCAATGAACTTAGCATTCCGTTATAGCAGTGGTGTGCTGTAAGGTAGTGCAAACAAGAAATTAATGAAATGAATGATGACCGAATATTGAACAAACATAAGCCACAGGCTGCGCCAACTTTAAATTCCAGAGCAAGAAGGCAGGATTCGTTCGGCACGTGTGCAACACGCCATTGGGTGTTAGTTTCTCTGAGAATGTCACTACCATTCAACATTCACGCCACACGTATGTTTCGCGACTAAAGGCTGAACAAGTAAAAAAATAAAGAAGCTTGGATGATCAACACAGCAAGTTGGCGAGCTAGCAAAGGCTCACATTTTTGCTGTAGGTATGCCTGTATGTTCAGCGTGACCAAGCTGAGGGAAGACACGAACGCTGCTTGTTGCGCAGTGCTCTTGACTGGGCGTGAATCATTTCAATGTTAGCTAGCACTGGTCTCGAGAAATGTTTGCTAGAAAAAGACCCGGTGCTCAGTTTGTCCCAGACTTCCAGTCGTACCTGAATGACTGCGGCATCCGATTTCGCTATAACACTGCTCGTTAAAAAAAAAACTTTACAGCGTTTTGGTACTAACAAGCGTGATGATGGTGGGAAGTATAGTATAGTATACGCACTCGACTTTGATGAGCGCCGCATGGTCGTCGGGGTCGGCGCTGCTGCGGGCCGTGAACATGCCGAACTGGCTCCGATAGAATTCCTCGATGGCTGGAGTTCGCGGGATCCGCTCACGAATCACCTGCACCAGCGATGAACTGCTCAGATGCGGCTCAACCTCGGCTGGCTGAGCCTGCCGCGTTCAAGGCACGAACACAAACAAGAGGAGGAACAGGAGACACGACGGGTACACGTATACGTTTCGTCAACCGAAGAATCGTGATTGATTGATTGATTGATTGATTGATTGATTGATTGATTGATTGATTGATTGATTGATTGATTGATTGATTGATTGATTGATTGAACACCAAAGGTGCACAACCCTGTGTATCCCAGCACTTCATGTTACCAGATGAAGTAGCTGAACTAGCGTGCATCCACAATAATGACAACGGGGACGCTTTGCCAGGTCATAATTAGTGGGAATACGAAATGGTCGTTCAAGCAGCAACACTGATAAAGTAGTAAGAAAAGGACGTTTGTGCAGTCAGATTGTGGCATGACCTTTTCTCCTCTTGTGCCTTTACACATATGAAAGAGATAAAACAGAGACAACCAAAGCAATTAAATGTATGGATTGACTATAATGTTAGCCGTAAATATAAATTACGGCTAAGTAGTAATATTTTAGTGTCAAAGTTTATAAGCGCGGTAAAGAAGAACCTTCCATACCCATCTCCATGAAACCACTGCCTTTCATCTCTCGATTGTTTTGAGGTTAATCTAAAATTATTGCACTTGCATAAAGGCAAGCACCTCTTCAAAGCTCATCGCCCTCGAATCGTTGAATTCGAGTTCTCTTTTTCAAGAAACGTTCACCCAAAAATAATCAATTCACATTATTTAAAAACAATATTCAGTTCCAACGTGACCTAAATTAGTCTACGTCAAGGCGCTCCTGCATTTAACACTCTCCAATCCAAAAAAAAATAAATTCCGCAATGTGTCGCGCGAAGCTACAATGTGATTATAAGCGAGCCATAAGGGACCGCGAATTCAATTTGACAACTTGGGGCTTTTCAGCACACGCCTAAATTAATGCGGGCGCTGAGCCGTGTTCCCAACTGGCAGACAAACAAGAGCCTTATTCTTCCTCAACAACCGCTATACATGTTGTTATGTAACGAGTCAATATAATTCGAATTAATTTAGAAAGTACATTTGGAAGGGCGGTTGCAGCGCTGGCCAGTCTGGCTCCGGGCTCGAGCAGCAAGCGACCTTCATCCTCTGACTCATATGCGGGGTTTAACGTCCCAAAACCACCATATGATTATGAGAGACGCCGTAGTGGAGGACACCGGAAATTTCGACCACCTCGGGTTCTTTAACGTGCACCCAAATCTGAGCACACGGGCGTACAACATTTCCGCCTCCATCGGAAATGCAGCCGCCGCAGCCGGGATTCGATCCCGCGACTTGCGGGTGAGCAGCTGAGTACCTTAGCCACTAGACCACCGCGGCGGGGTACCCTTCATCCTCTTTGTCGTGCACACACGCACATTGACAATATGCATTGCGGCAGCCTACATGTAGCCATATTAGAGCCGGTGGTCTTGCTTTTCGCCCGCATCGGCGGCCACCGAAGGTTCCCAATTGTTACTGCTAAAATAATTTAGGTAGGCGGTGCACGCATTCACACAGAGCCCCGTAGTTTATTCAGAAGGTGGGCGATCGCACTTGCATCAGAAAGCAGGGCCGTCGTTAGATGGAATTTTTTGCGTGTGTGTGGCGGGGGTGGGGTAACAAGCAAAGGTGTTCTTGAGTCTTGCTCTTGCCACTTACGTGACAGGTGCGCATAAAGGAAGCTAGCATACAGTCATCATGTGCATGTACCCTCAAGCCGTTCATGGTGTCATCATTCGTATTTTACGAGCTAGCTATCTGCTAACAGGCGCTACGATTGTGCTGCGCGTATAGAAGCATATCAAAGAGAACGATACCTATGTGAGCAGCTAGTGGAATGAGTGCTCGCCGCACTTTATTTAGATGTAGCCCCCCCCCCCCAAAAACAGATCGTTGAAAGGGCCCTTATAAAAGCGTTAAACGAAAGCGTTACTCTGCCCTGGGGTTTCTCGTATATTTTTGCGCACTTCGTGACGTAGGAACAGCGATTACATGACGCCATTACAATACATACACTCGATTGGTCCATGTACACTAAATATCATAACTAAATTGTCTCCTAGACTGCTGTGCCATTCCGCCACCCGCCAGTTCTTCCTCGTCTCGCATGTCTTTATAGTGCCAACACCTCCTTTAATTATTTCAAAGCCACTGCAAACGTGCCCTTCTCAACGGGAGCCGTCGGTCCACCTTCGTTCAGGGAGTGGTCGGGATGCGGCGCTGTATGAGGGTTCGCACTGCTCCCGTCGCGCATGCGCGCTTTCCCCCAAAGATTCGATAGGTGTTTGCCACTCCAATATCATACAGTCTGTCAGACCTGTTCCTTCGGGCTATTTTGTGGCTCGAAGCAATGGCGCCGGTGCATCACAACGATCTTCAAGTCGGCGCATGCAGTTGCGTTGCAGTGACGGTTCCCCATCGGTTGTTCGCATAGCGCCACGAACGGCGACACGCTATCTAGAAACACCTAATCTTTTACAGAGCCATCGAGACAGCCAACATTGCGAACACGAGGAATACAAGACGCCACCCCACGGATCTGTACACAAGTGAAGAAAAAAATTACTTCATGTAATTTCCGTCGTGAGACACTACATGATGGGCTCTCTTCGCCATGACCACAAAGCACACGCAAAGGCTAGACGAGAACAAAAAAGCGCTAGAGGAGAGAGTCGTCAACAACTAGATCGGGCGCATCTGGCTGGTATTGATGAAATAGAGGAGGCGCTGCTAGTGCGAGGGATCAAATGACTTCACTTTATTTTGCGTGCTTCCGACTCGTGATTCCGACTGCACAGGCGCAGAGATAACGCATAGCTGACAAGCGCGAAATCTTGATAGTATCAAACGCGAAGTGCTGATATTGTGCACGTGCTTTTGAGAAATAAGTGACGAGAAGGAGCTGTGGGAAGGATAGCATAGGCGAGGAGGAAACCGCTTTGTAGTTTTTGTACGCAGGTTGGTGAGGGGCTCCTGAAAAGCAGAAATTGGCATTTAAAAATAAGTTGCGCTGAATCAACACGAATATACTGTTGCCTCCCATTCACTGCAAGTAGCCTACGAAGCACTGGTGCATTCTAAAATAGACGCAATGTGACCAAAAGCCTACAACAAAGCACCGAGCTGAAAAAGTCATTGCGCAAATGCGAAGAAACTTCTGACGCAATCACTTGTCACCACGTGGCACGTGACACATGTTGGACCGAATCTCTTCAACAATGGTGAGACCGGCAAACCAAACGCGCCTCTAAAGCAAGACCAAAATGCGGGCAAGAAAGGGCATGTCCTGCATTGCGGTGAAGCACAATACGCGCAGGGAACTCAACAAAGGCAAGCAATGTGTTTCTTCCGACACAGATACTGTCGCCCTCGTGGTAAGCGACAGTGCATACTCCGACGTGTGACGTCACGTTTTAGAGATTACTGTGTTATCAATTGATAACAAACAGCGGTCGGTGACGAGGACCCGGCGTAGCGCATTTTCGCCACGACGTGTACCACGAGACCTGCAACATACAGCTTAAAATGATTAACCTCGCGTTGTCCATCTCGCTTCAAATTTTGAAGTTATGACATGCACTTGTAATACTACTCCGTGTCAGTTGTGCTTTCTCTTCTCTTTGCAACATACCCATCAGCGCCTCCTACTTTCTGTTCGTCAAAGCGGCCAGTCACTTCGAATGGATATTTATAGGGCGCATTCCTATAGGAGTTTGTGGCTCCTACAACTCGGCGTTCTTCACTGCAACGTTCATGTGCCAGACGCGAAAGTAGAGTGCTGATCAGCGGCCTAGAAGGAAAGGTACTAGATTCGCATAAGTTTATTTCGTTCTTGTCGTCAGTAGTTGCTTTCTGTGCAGACATTCGAATGTCAAAACGCGCGATGTTGGCGCTCAAATCGCTCTGCATAAAGTGGAATTTTCACGCACATTCAGACAGCCTCTCTCTCGTGTTACCACGTTCCCATTAAAGCGTAATCTTCCGGATCGCGGGGCATTCGAACGTAGAAATATTTCTATAGCATTCTATACAATAATGTGCACTGATTCATTACGTCTTCACTGAAGCCATTTGACGCAATACTTGCATTACTTCCATGCATGGTTTACCAGTGCCATGTTGATAGCAGCTATCGTGTTTTTTTTTTCTTTACTGTTTGCATATAGCCGAGACAGTCTACACAGTTGCAAGTGCAGTCGTTCTTTCTTGGTGTTATTAAAATGCGTATAGGAACAAAATTAGCGTGATAGTGATGCAACGTTAAATAGCGGCCACTTTTTATTCGCCTAATGCACACACATTTGACTCTTCTGAATTGGAATAAGTAAAAGTGAGCCCTTCATGTTTCCAGTAACTAACTCGTCAAGCTCTCGTAAGAATAGTGATGATAAAACGCGATTCCCGTTTATCTCTAACACTTTATACGTTAACCTTAACTGAGCATCGTGCAGTGCGAAGTTAAGTAAGTACCCCTGTGTTCTAAATCGTGATTCACCGTCATGTCGATTGGCACAAACATACATGATCCGTATTTCCCAACGTGTAATCCAAATACCTTAAAGTGCGTAGCTGTATGTCAGGTAAGCCAGACAGGTAGCTTTTAAGCACTGTATGCTGTCTTTAGAGAAGAGAAAAACTAAGTAGTGACTCACTTCAGGACTGGCAACGTTGATAATGAAGTCTACATCGTCCCACGAGTACTCCCGGAAGGGAAGCTTTTGCTGCAGAAAGGGGGAAAAAACAAAGAACAAACGTTAAATCACGCAGACACAACAATCCTGTGTAAGCAGCTCAACGTTACGTGGTAACAAGAAAGATTATATGCATTCTTTCAAGAACGTAAGCGTTAGTAGTACGTCAGGTACACGGTAGAGCAAGGTAACATAAACACACAGCTCACGGCAAGTTTTTCACACCTTCAGAATATTCCGCGGAATGTATCGGAGGAATAAAAACGTGCTTACCGCTCAAAACACCTGTTCCGCAATGCTAACACATTGCCTCAAGCCATAGCTTCGGAACTCGCGAAGACAAGTACGGCGCAACCAAAAGAAACATGCTACTTCTGACATGGGCGAAACGCAACGGCGAAACGTTCTGAAGCGCGTTGATCTTAGCGGCACCCAGCATCAAGCGAAAAATCGCAACGAAGTAGCTACAAATCGCCACGGCACGCTTGTTACCGACGAGCTCGCAGACCCAACCACGATCGCCAGGCTCGTAGCTGTGTGTCGCGAGCACATACGCAAACACAGCAATCGAGCAATAATGCCTCGGCACTGCTCTAGGTCGCTTACCGATTCTTATTCAAGCTCCCAAGATGTCGGCTCCAGTTGCGCGCGCATGGTGTCAGAACGCGACAATCAAAACAAATCGGGGAAAGACGACGACTACGCCAGGTCTTCTTTTTCTTCCTTCGGAATATAATGCATCCGCGAGCCTTCGCGGGGGAAGAAAATAAGCAGCCGATTGTTCCGGCTCTCACTGACAGCTGTTGCCACAAGTTATCGGACACAGGAAAAAAGAAGAAAGAATACTACGTCGGACAATCGGATCTCCCGAGGCAACCTCCCCTTGATGTCATTGTTTTGCTGCTCCGGCTCTCCAAATGTGCGCATATCGCGTCGAGTTCCGCAAGAATTCGCCGTGCGATGCTTGGTTTGCGGTAGATTTCGGTATTGCTGGTTGGTATAGAGCCACCACGATTGCCACGCCTCAACATCGCACGACTATAGTCACACGTGAAAGCATTTAGGGCCATTTTTAAATGGTGGCGAGATAAGATGCCTTGCCACCACTTGCTTCTGCTGTTTTTGCATCCTCATTTCCGATGGAGGCGGAAATGTTGTAGGCCCGTGTGCTCCGATTTGGGTGCACGTTAAAGAACCCCAGGTGGTCAAAATTTCCGGAGCCCTCCACTACGGCGTCTATCATAATCATATCGTGGTTTTGGGACGTTAAACCCCACAAATCAAATCATGTTTTTGCATCCTCTATCTACGTGCACTCTTTGCAAGACACAGACCGCAGCCTTGGACCACATCATCTGTGGGTGCAGCAAGGACCCTCCCGCACCAGACCTCCCAGGACAGTGACCTTCAAGTGAGGCCTGGGATAGAATCCTCACGACTACAAGCCTGGATGCCCAGCTCCGGGCCATCAAATGCGCTAACGAGGTGGCAACCAGGCATGGCCTGACAGCCCTCGCCATTCAGGAAACCGTCAGCTGCCTTAATAAAGTTGTTTACTACTGCTACTTTTGTGCACACGTCACTGCGCTCCAAGACTGTGACGTGAGGTTTTTCTCTACTAGAGCTTAGCGTATATAATGATGGCCTGTTCACCTGCTTCTACGTTCACATGCAGACGTTAGCACTGCAGTAGTTTGAAGAGATGAAGCGGCGCACTCCAGATTGCAGAGGTAGCAGTTATCGATGTCGCGTTGTTTTGAGACAGCTCGCGTCTGAACATGCACTTATATAACTGCAAACGCATCCTGCGTATGAGTAGAACCTCAAGCTACGTGATACCAGTATGCGTTGCCCATCTATTCCTTAGAGTGCAGCTTCAGCGTCGAAAGCTCGTCGAGATCCGCATGTACGACGTGACGTCATTCAATTAAAAAATATATATTCACTTTTTTCAACTCTGGTCATCAGTGATTCGGGTGAGCACTCTGAAGGCCGCGTATCGTCTGAAGATATTTTGGTAAAAACGTTGTTTAAATCTAAGCGCATTCTTTCTTTCTTCTTTAATTTTCGGATGTTCAAATTCCGGGGTGGGCTGTATTTCGGGCACCGTCGCCTTGGGGTGCGCAAAATTTGTTGGGCTTGATGCGGAGGGCGTAAAAGTGCGAGCGTACACAGAAGGTGAAGAAGGAAACACGCAAGTGGCGTTTATCCATTCATAGCGAAGCTGACACGCTTAAGTTATAACACATTCATCGAGGTTCCCATACAGCCTGATTTCGCAATCACGATCACTCATTACACCTAATGTGGCCGCCCTCATCAAAGATGTAGGGGGCGAGAACTCAAACGCCTGCCGCGTTGCCATCAGAGTCTCTTCACGCCGACAATCTGCGTCTCTTGCGCATAGAACGTGGGGCCACCAGAGCCGAACAAGCATCCCATTTTGCGCAACTAATGGCACGGCTTCTATGGCTCCCGTGAGCGCATGTCAAGAGTTTGACCGTTTACACCGACAGCTACGACAGAGTGAGCTCTCCCAGACGACGCCATCTCCCGCTCGGATCGATACCAGTGCCTGCATGATGGGCGAATGAGGAGATAAATTTAGCTCGAATCACTCCACGAGAGGCATGACAACGGCGTCAATTGTTGCGAGTGAGCCATGCGTGACCGACCATCGCATTCATTTTCTATACAGTTATGCCAAGATCAGATATACGTGTGTAGTGCGTTCGCAAGGTGACACTATAGTATTATACGTTTTCGCTGCATGCTGATCGCAGCCGTATAAAGGCGTCGCACGTCAGAGGCAAAGCTAATTTTCCGCCTCCTTGCTCATCGTCATTGCCAATTCGCATTTCTGATTTTGCTTCGCTATACCATCTGCCGTTTTTTGTATGGGTTTCTTTGGGTGCTGGGACAACAGGTGTCGCTGAAATGAGAGCCAGAGAGAGAGATCAAGGGGCATTTCACATTTCCGCTAGAAGAAGGGCTAGCTCCTGCGCAGTAGCATTGCGCCCGGCGCATTAGCTTTATACGTCGTTGTGCCCCTGATAAATTCTCACTGTCCTTACAACTCCACCTGCTGAAACGCACAGAGATGCAGCGGAGAAATGTTCTAAGTTACCGACGATTTGGAGAGCTAAGATTGTGACCATGGCATTCGTAACGCTGGCTGCGCAAGATGAGCTGCTTTCTGCCGGCAACCACCGTTTGCAGACATCGATCATGCCTAACACTCGTTATTCGCATCGCTAATAACTAAAAAGTACCTAGATCACTCTCTCTCTCTCATTTTTCTAACCCAAAGGAAAAAATAAAGGTACTTCATAGTCAAAATGAGCTACACGTGTCCGATTTTGCCGCTATGCCCATCAACAACTTGCGCTAAATGTTGTATACATTTTTTTTTTCTGAAGATTCACCTTGCGATGCTGGAAACATGGTCGTCAACTATAGAATTATATCTGGAGGGCCTCTATAATATTCTCTATGTGCGCCCAGCAAATGCATGTACAGAGTGTCTTCCTCTTCGCTGAACCTCGTCACCTGACCCATTTCATGGCGCCAATAAAGGTGTATCCTCCTCCTCGCAAATTTTCAGATTCTGTTTGGAGCGCAACGCCCGTGACAAGTTACGAAGATTGACTCTTTAGTAAGAGAACTACGATGTCACCAGCTCTCAGTTTTGTGTAAGTGGGGAGGTAGGCAGTTCTGTGTCATGTATACTTCCTTCTATCCTTTGTCCTGCTTGCGCTGGCCGTCAGAAGCAACCGTTCGATTACCGACAGTGCTGGTAGGTAAACGTAAAGTCGATCTTTCTTTTCCTCGTGTGACGATGGTAAAATTCAGACAAACTAGATTGCCTGTCGAGGCAGGGATGCCGGAGTAATGGATGAACACAGAAACTCAGTTTAGATTTACAACCGCTGTCACAGTAAAAATAAACTGGCACTTGGAAGTATGACGCTGATGAAGTGATCCTTTCATTCTGATTCAACTCAAAGGCCTCAAAAAGAATCGACGTAAGAAAAGTGTATACTTTTTTTATTTTCATTTAACGGCACCCTGGTAAATTAGAATGATAAATGATAATAGGACACTGTCGGAACCGTTCCTTTAAAAAGCAGAAAGAATGAACAAGTAAGCAAAGTTTTATAGGCCTTGCTAAAGGCACCACTGAAAAGATTGCTTCTGGGGGATGTTGATAAAAACCAGCCACAAAATAAATGCCAATACTCGGTCACTAAATCAGTTCTTCGTTTACGCTAAGTTTATTTACTGCAGCAAATGTCGCACACGACATCTGAATTTCATATCATAGCAGAGCTTGTCGTATCCGGTACACATGTTGTCCTCGTGGGCAGTTCCTATGTATTGACCGTCTATATCAGGTAGCCACCAAAAGTATTTTTTTTTAAAAAAGAAGAAAACTCCCATCAGTTTTCTTTGCGCGCTCTGTTTTCACGAGAGGTTAGCTATATATACCGTCCCGATGGGCTGTTTCAATTTATTTTGTAGTGCCAGCCCGCGAAGACGGGCTGAATTTGCTTGTATTGGATCCTTGTAAATGGTTCTCTAGCGTCTTCGTTTCGGCATCTAGAGACTAACAGAAAGAATGTTGTCGTTGAGATAACTATAGCTTTTATACGCCCGCAAAACAGCGGTTCGAAGACGGTATACTTGCGAGGTGGATAAAAAAAAACAAAAAAAACTAGAAGGATGTCTGACCGTAAACAGATACATATTATCGTTCGCGTTACAGTTTTGTAAACATGTCTCCAGCAGCCACCCTCCATCAGTCTCCCCCACTAAGTCACAGACAAAAAAAAAAGAAAAGGACAGTCTCACTGCAAGGGTGAAGCAATCAATGCGATAGCAACAAATCGTAATGGTACTTGAAGTGCGGCTGGCGGCTAATTCTTTTTTTTTTATCCAATTTGACGCAACTCTAGAAAACGCTGGTGTGCGGCCCCTCCAGGGACACTTTCCACACAGTCTCTTCACATTGGGAGCGCAGCACGTATAGAAGGACCGCCCGATGGTGGCTGTCAAGAAAGCGAGCCAGGGACACTTTCCGCACAGTCTCTTCACATTGGGAGCGCAGCACGTATAGAAGGATCGCCCGATGGTGGCTGCCAAGAAAGCGAGATAGCACGCGCCCGTAAAATCGAAGTTAATCGTTGCTTCATGGTCAAATTATATCGGTCGCGAAACCTGTACCGAAAAGTGTCCAAAACTTACTGTCACAGGCATAACAAATAACCAAAACAAAAACACAATAACTTTTTTTTCGAATAGTCGTAACTTTATATATCTCATAGTTAACTATAAATTTACTTTATATGGTTTATCTGACACTTGACGAGACGGTTGATTGCCTCATTTTTCGGTCGAGTGTCCTAAATGGGGCTGTATCTAGGAAGTCTGCTGTCAAGCTTCTGTGTTCGGCGCATTACCGGGTCAACGAGGCATCGCCAACTTTTGCGTGGTAGTTTCGAGCGTACCTTCCGTAGTTTATTTATTTGCTCGTGTGCTGTTCACTGGCGTGACATTTCAGAGCTGAACTAGCCCACAAAATGTGTCGATAGCCACTCATGTGACTGCCGACTACCTTCGCTGGCGCACAGCCGGTGTGCCCTCTCCTTTGGCGACGGTGAATGCGACGCGCTAAAAGCAACGAGACGTGGTACTCTATAGCTGCCAAAGCGATATCCTCAAGGCTGCTGTCTCGTTACAGTGGTTTTCCACGATTGGGCAACGTGAGTCTTCGAACTATTAGGCTATTGTGCTCGTGAACAGTTGTGTCACAATTTCATCTGCAAAGCTATCGGTGTGTACTGCAAGTACACTGTTTGGCTAATAAAACAACCTTGCTTCCTCGATTTTAGCTGCGAAGCAGCTTACCCCCGTATTCACAAATGCTCCTTCCTCCGCTCGACTTTCGCCCTTCACTTGACAGAGTTGAGCACTGCGCCACCACTCGGCTAAAATGACACTGCTCTACTCAAGAATCACAGCACTTTATCGCTGATATGCAGTGACTTTCAATGCCTAGAGATGGCGCTTCCATCGGCTTTCTCAAGTGGAGGCGAAGCGTTGAGTGAAGGGAAGTTCTAGAATACAGGGGTTAGGGTCGAGATCAATCCAGTCTGCGACGTGACCACTTTTACTGCGCATGCGCATCCGCTCCCCCTTGTTCCTCTCCTACGCTCCCCCTCTCTCCCTTCACAACGCCAATGCAGGGAGCGTCTGCTAACTTACCCTCGCTCTCCCCTCTTTCTTTCTCCTCTAGGCATTTTTCCCCGCCGCGTTTACAGCCCCATTGCGCATGCGCGTCCTCTCCCCCTTTCTCACCTCGCAAAGCCAACGAAGGCAGCGGCTGCTAGCATCGAGTTTCTTGATTGAAAAAGAAAACTGACTGGCTTCTTTGGAAGGTACGTTACCAGTTTGCATAAACCTGGTTGCTGCTTGGGCAACATCCCACACACGTCTTTCATATGCTCGTTAAAGACGTACAGGTCGTCCCCTCTCTGCTTGAGCATTGCACGGACGGTCTAACAGGCGGGGCCATCTTATCGCATGCGTCCTGCGAGCGACGGAGATGGCCCCGCTCTTTTGATCTGTACTTCAGCCGCATTCGCCACCTTCATTCGCGCTAATGCCAGCAGGTAGAGCGTACCACGCACTGGGGGATCTTGCGCCATTTAGACTTTATACGTGACATGACGGCGACGGTAACGGCGACGGCAAAAACCTCTCGACATTGTCCAAATAATCGTCACCACAATGAAAAAAAAACGGGAACAACTAGCGAAAAGGAAGCATATACACGAAGAAAGAAACGCGCTCCAATCGTCTCCCTGCTTTCTTTCTATGAAAGACAAATGGTATTCCAGCATTGGCTACAGTTTAGTCAGTGCCTAAACGCAGCAGGTTCCTTCCGCTCGCAAGAGCCACATGCCGTTCATTCGAAGAGGGCGTAAGCATGGCACATAATAGGCGGCTGGTCATATGCACACGATGCTGAGATATAACAAATTGGATATTCACGTAAGATCACCAATGAGGAATTAAGTTTCATAGTGTCGTAATTAAAGAGTAAACCACGACTAATGAGTCAGGATGACAATCTCTACACATCATTTTTCTCCCTGCCGAAGTGATTTTGATGGTGTAGCTATTATTGTGAGCTATAATAATCACGCTCATTATCTAGGATGAAGTTTGAAGTTTTCGAAAGCAGTTCGTCAATGAATTTTGTCGTGCATGTTTCACTGTATACTGTGTCACTGTGTTTCTACAAAATATCTAGCGCATGCTATCTTAGATTGAGCAGATTTGCATGCCACGTATATGTTTAATTTTATTTGCGAGAACTGAAATGCAGTGGCTGAAGAACAATTCCATGTCCGAAACTAGCAGTGCGTCTCTCGTCGTATTGCCCCGTTTTATCGTGCTGGCCCACGAAATATTCGCTTTCACCCATTTTTATAGTACGAAAGATATGTAAAAACATTTTTTTTTCCTCTTTCAACTCGTTCTTTCACTCTAGCACTGTAGGAACCTCGTTTACGTATTTCATGTCTTGAAATTAACATGACACGAAATAATAAAATTGACAGCCCGAACAGACTGAATTGATTGATTGATTGATTGATTGATTGATTGATTGATGATTGATTGATTGATTGATTGATTGATTGATTGATTGATTGATTGATTGATTGATTGATTGATTTGATTGATTGATTGATTGATTGATTGATTGATTGATTGAAGCATTCAGAAGCATATTATTAAACTTTCATCTAGGTCAAGAGGCAACCAGGAAGTCCCAGTCTGCTTGTTTCTTTTTCTACATAAATACGATTTCATTGACCATAGAGACACACGAACGGTGCAGAGAGTGACAGATGGAGGCCACCAAAAGCTCTGAGCGATGCTCAAGCAGATCACGGTCATATTAATTTTCACATCATGCTAGCTACTTAATTAGTTGTCCATCATCCCGTGTTCAGGCAGTGGACGGTGAAGGAAGGCGGAAGTCACAACGCCCACTCATTCCTATAGCTTGTCTCACGCGAAGCGAGTCTTCCTCGCGGTCAATTGATCGATCACGGTGCGGAGTGTAGGTGTAGGAGGGATTGATTACCGTGCCACCCATGTAGTCGGGCAGATTCTCGGGAGACACAAATTCTGTGATGGTGTTCCTGTCGACGAACTTGATGCGGTCCACGCCTTCAGCGGGAAGCCAGGACTTGACCACTTTCCAAGCCGCTGCGTGTCATTATAAAAAAGAAACAAAATGCAAATACGAGCAGGTGATTAGATGGACTGGTTAATTAAAAGACATTGAAAGAGGCAAGGTCAGTCATCGGTGGCTCGATTAATAAACGTTTTTATGCTCTTTCATGCAAAAAAAGATTCAAAAAACGAAACAGGCAATGAACCTAATAAATCTAAATACCGCTAACAAAATAATAATAATTGTTATTCTTTTACGTGCTGAAATCACGAAAACACGATGAGGGATGATTTGATGAAGGTTTCCGAAAAATTTGACCACCTAGGGTTCCTTAATGCGTGCCTTAATCAAAGTACACGGGCATCTAGCACTCCGTTTCCATCGAAAGGTGATCGCTGCGGCAGGGATTCGAATCCGGGACCTCAAGGTCAGCGTTTGAGCCCCATAACCACTACGCCACCAAGGAGGACCACGTACAAAATAAGAACCTAGCTTGCGGGTGCGACTGCTGTATTATTTTTGCTTCTTTCCCCATGTGTGGAGTCATTACAGTTACATGACATCGCACGCATTTTCTATTGTTGCACTCCGGGGTGGGGGGGGGGGTACAAACAACAGAAAATGCGTGTTTTTCTCAGCAGTACAAATTTTACATTTGTGACCTCTCCTACCTCGTAAGAGAATCAGCTGCAGACGGTGTAATTCGCGATCACCTTCTTGGTGGGACATCACCAAAGCCAGAATCTACAAAAGCTAGTCTCCCTAAAGCTGTTATGTTTCGTATAACACCAAAACAAAGGAATTTTGAAAGAGTGCCACACTATCCTGTTGAGGCCCGCCGATGTAATCGCGGCATTCTTGCAGGCTTCTGCTTTACGGTTAGGTCTGCGACGCCTGAACGGCCTGCAAGTGGTACATTTCAAATTTGCGTAGGTCGGTCGGCCCGTGCGCGGAGGCACGTCTAGTGGTATTTGGGTCTGAACGACAGACTCAGTGTGCAGACACGGTCATCTGGATTAACATAAACAAGCATTCAATTAAACTAATAACAAGGGCGAAGGATAAAAAATGAACTAAGCGAACAAAAATCATATTTCGCGCGATCAAAATGGAACAACTGCAAAACTATAACTATGCTCCAAAATAAAAGAACATTGCAAGTACAGACATACAAACGACGCAGAATGTTCATGACGCAGAAGTGGACATGAAGGAAACAAAAAATAAAACAAACAAAGAAATATTGCTAAAAAAGATCGTGCTCTCGAATACATCTCATGCGACGCAGCGCGCGCTAAACAATATTTAGAAACTGGGGTCAATAAAATAACGGTTGCAAGAAAAGAATCTCGATACAAAGCAGGCCCATTTCGTGGTTCACGTAAGGGAATTGACTTTGAACCAGCGAGAAGCGCGCTCATCGGTTTCGCTTGTCTCGCGTATACGCAGCGAGTATACGGAGTGTCCTGTGCAGCGTATTGAGACGGCGGCAACACCGGCTGTCCGTCTCAATACGCTGCACAGGACACTCCGTATACTCGCCGCCTACGCGAGACTCACGAAAGCGATGACCGCGCTTCTCGCTGGTTCAAAGTCAATTCCCTTACGTGAACCACGAAATGGGCCTGCTTTGTATCGAGATTCTTTTCTTGCAACCGTTATTTTATTATCACCAGATTTTAGCCCCGCCGCGGTGGTCTAGTGGCTAAGGTACCCGGCTGCTGACCCGCAGGTCGCGGGATCAAATCCCAGCTGTGGCGGATGCATTTCCGACGGAGGCGTAAATGTTGTAGGCCCGTGTGCTCAGATTTGGGGGCACGTTAAAGAACCCCAGGTGGTCGAAATTTCCGGAGCCCTCCACTACGGCGTTTCTCATGATCATATGGTGGTTTTGGGACGTTAAACCCCACATATCTATCAATCTATTATCCCCAGCTTTTAAATAATTCTCTTAGTGTGCGCTGCGTCGCTCAGTAGCGCCAGCATGACGTGTTTGAAATTTATTCTTTGATATCTCTTTTGCTTCCATCATGTGCAGTTATTTTATAAACATCCCGTGTTGCGTGGATTTGTACATGCAATGTTTTGTCAGAACATAGTTTTTAGCGTCGTTTCTTATCTATAATTTGTGTTTTTGCTTTTTAGTTAATTTTTGTTAACTTTCGACAATTGTATGCCCTTCTTTCAATTAAATGCTTGTCTGTTTTTTTAACGAAATTTCCGTGTCATGCATACACGTTTCCGTATCATGTTTCCGTGCCATGAGTACGTCAGTCAGACCCAAACATCACCGCACGTGCAACCGCGCACAGGTCAACCGGCCTGCAAATAAATTTGAAATGTACCACTTGGAAGCCTTTCAGGCGTCGCAGGCCAAAGCGTAAAGTGGAAGCATGTGAGTCTGCCGCAAGCCAATTTTAGACCGGCCGGTGGAGCATCATTATGTGTGACAAAGAGGTACGCTTGAATTAAAACTTGATATGCTTGAACGTCTGCAAACTGAATCACAAATTATCGAGCACGCCGTCACGGTGATCAACGGATAGTTTTTTGCTATGCACGATAAAGAGGATTTTTTTTTTAATATATAGTGTGGCCATCGTTCAAGCACCAGCACGTCAAAATCACTGAGCTGTGAAAGTGCTGCCCATCTTAAATGAGTTTCTGGTGAAATTAGATGCGCCTCCCAACAGAGTGAGTCTCGGCATAATACCATTCGCACAGCATGATACCATTTTGGTCAGGTGTAACGTAGTCTAACGAAAAAAAAATTAATTTATGCACAATAAATGAAATGCTTACTGTTGAACAGCCAGGGCATATCATACACCATGATGAAGCCTGAAAAACAAAAAGCGTAGAATAAAAATGCCATTCTTTCACAAAACTACGTAGGCTGCTATGACGCCGTTCTATAAATTCTGGGAGAGCTATCAAAACGTTAGAACTCATTAAACACTCCAAATCTTCCGCTTTCCTCACTTCATTTTCGCATAGCCCGCAATATTTTTCGTCAGATTTTTTCATTCATGACTTTCCTTCAACACATGTGCTTATTTGTCGCTCCTTCTCTGTCATTTGTACTTGTGTGGAGGTGACAGATCCTCCTATTCTATGCTATGATATGCCATATGCTATGCCATTCTATCCTATGCTCTGCTATGTTACGCTATACTATGCCATGTTTTGCTATGCGATGCCATGTCATGCATGGCAGGCTTTATCATATCTTGCCATGTCATGCCATGCCATGCTGCGCTATGCTGTTCTGTGCTGTGCTATGCAGTGCTATGCTATGCTATGCTGTGTCATGCGACACTACGATATACTCTATGCTATGCTATTCTTTATTTTTTTTATATTTGTCAGATACCCCACAGCATCCGATGGCATTATGGCATGTGGTCAGATCAATGAATGAAATTAATCTTCCTTCGTCTATACAACTTCGTTCACACATGAATACACCTTCGTTCAACTTACAGCAGGAGGTTACAGCATTCGATAAAATACATCTGCGTTCCCAGAAAGTACTTGCTTTTCAGCTAGTCTATTAAATTGTTCTAACAAAATCAGATGACATAAATGTTTGTTTTAGCTGGATATTCGAAAATTTCGCAGCTATAATAAAGACGCTCTGGAGGGTGATGACATTTATGTAGGTTAATTTACTTGTTAATTTTAGTTTTATTATAGTAAATCAAGTAAAAAAATTACCTCTGATTATAGCAGCAGCCAAGAGGGATACGCATCACATATCAGCCTCCATTGCAATGCATGTTTTTCTCCTTCCACCATACAAATACGAACCTGGCAGCATGATTTTGCATTTGCTAAAAACCATCAATAAAAGTTGCCTCGACTATGTAACCTTCATTATTGCTATAGGACAGATTCTACAACACTAAACTACCTCCGCTGAATACGAATCCGACAATGCTGACCACGCTGCTCTGCTGTTTTCTATAAAATGTACTAACGGCAAGTTTGCGTACTGAACTTAGCCTTCTGAACTCTAACGTCGGTCTTGGCACTCCTCCTAGGATCTCATGGGCACGACATCGCCTTGCCTGAAACTGTTGTTGGGCGGTAGCAGCGACCGCTAAGTGTATCTTGCCAACAAATTAACTTTTTTTTGCGCACTCCGGCAACAACAATTGTGCGAACGACCGCAAAGTTAGTTCACTCCCAGAAATAGCACTAACATTACAGAACATCGTGTAGTATTTTTGCACGAAAGGTACAGCACGTTTATGTTTTTATTAAACTTTCTAGATTATTTGAAATGTCATCTACGGGATAAACATAAAAAACTGGGCTTATTCGTGCAGGTTCATGATTAACAAAAACATCAAACTGAAAACAATATACGTTGCTCATCGTTTTTGACTGCCTAAAAAATAGCTTCTCTTTCTTCAAGACCTACATGTTGTTATCTGACACGACCTGATCCTGCCCTCTTGCTTTCTTCAGGGTGCGTAATTCGTGTTTCGTAAGCGGTTATGGCAAGAATTTTGTCTCGGTCAACTAGACGAATTTGTCGCGGGAAATGTGTATGATGTCAGATAAATACATAGCGCCGGAAGAGGTTGCTTCAGCGAAGCCTTTCATGATAAAAATTGATGATTACTGAGCAGCATGAGTTGCCGCTATTTCTTTCTTTTGATATTACTGACAATGAGGGTTAATTTTAATTACCCAGACCACAATTACCACGAGCTTTGTTGCCGTAAGAACGGGTGCGGCATTAAAGTTTGCGTGGTCCCTGTATTCTATCGGTGTCTCCACCTGAAAGTGCCGGCGTCCGGCCGACCACTGTCACTTTCCTTCCTTTCTGCTACAGTAAGAGGTCATATGTTGTGCCTGGTCCACCCTTGTTTTTGTGTCCGTTTTCATTGTGCTATTTCTATTATGCATGCGCTGATGAATACATCGCGTGGATTTTTCTACGCACTGCTCTTACCTATCCAGGTTTCACGATGACGCCGAACTAAAACTATGAAATGACACTGTAGGAATGACAGCGCACCAGGTTCATATTTGTGTTCCTGTAAGTTTTCGCCGTACGCCGAGTTTTCTTTATGACTTTCAGAGTTTACGGCAATATATTGTGTTGGCGCCACGCGTGTAGTGGTCGTAGTGTTACACTCACCTAGAGCCCATGGATAGTACTCCTTGAAGAGACTGATCAGGAAATTAATCAGTTCCATATCCTGAAAAAAAAAATGTGTGCATTGGGAGAAGTTTTCATCGTCATCATGGGAGAAGGTGTAGTCAGAATTGAGTAGTAACAGTCCCCACAATTGTTAGAAAATAGTTCGAGGTCACAATAACAAGAAATAAATTGTGTGACCAATCTTGCTATTCAAACAGGTTTTTCCTTAAACGTCACGTTATTCAAAACGTAACTATTCTTAAATTAGTAGCAATAAAAAAATGAAATAACGTCATGGCCACGCAAATGCAAATTTATGCTACAAAAGAACTTCTGTAAGCCCTGCAACTTGTCAGGTGTCCATGTATAAGTTCGAATGCCTTGGTCGGAACAAAGGATTCTGGGTCATTGGCCGAGCCCATCCTCAGCCCAGAAGGCTTTGAAAGCTTTGCAGCGCTTTTTGCGGACAACTGGCCTCGGAGACAGACTTTAGTGTCTTATGCTCTTTGATGTTGCCTTTACTCTGTCGCTATTTTTTTGTAATTTCTCTCTGTCTCTCTTCGCAACATTTATTTTCTTTTTATCATCTTTTATTCACCTCTCCCCTTTCCCCAGCACAGGGTAACCAGCCGGTCTGAGAACCGGCTAACCTCCCTGTCCTTTCGCTTAAACTTTCCTCCTCCTCCTCCTCCAGTGAATTACACGTAGTACGGTAGAATGAGTTTTCTATATTGCGGCCATCCCTGCTCGAATCTGCAAACGTCCCACTTAGTTTTTGATCTCACCTCGAAATATACGTGAGAAGATAAATTAGGCTTAAATTACGCAATGCGTGGCGGGACAATAATGTCTTCTATCATGACCATGACGCAAGCGCGTGGCAGAATAGCCGATCACTTCCTCTAAAAAGCGATAAAAATGCGCTAGTGTGTCTGTACACATATAACAGTAATGGTGTCATCACCAATATGTAACATTTTACATCGAACCTTGCTATAACGTTCATGCAAAGCTAATTAACGTCATAACGGTACCAGCATAAACGTTAATTCACGTCATAATGCATTAACGCCAATACGCGGGGTGCCCCAGCTATCTCTGTGGCCAGAGTTTTAAAATATGCCGACGTGCTCTACGACGATCAGACCAAAAGCACGTTGCTTATATACTAGTGCATGGAGTTAGTCAAACTCATTCTTTTCTGCTAATTGCTGCTAACTGCCTAATTAGGCAATATTTACTAAAATAAATTTGGAATCAACGAAGATAGTAAAAAAATTATATGCAGAAAGCTGCAGATCTAGTTTAAAATATCCGATTCTAACTCTATATCTGGTAATTATTACTGTTTTTTTTTCTGTTTACTACAGATGCCTACTAAATACAAAAAAAATACCACCTGACCTTCCCGCTTGCTCACCTATGCTTACCGTGATTGCAGTGCTCCATTACGTTGCGATTTTCACGCGACGCTTCACCACAGCGATAAGCATAAGCAGCGGTTATCGCTTGTGTTGCCACTAGTTAAACTTCCGTTATCGCCCAGCCACCACCAATGTCGCTGTTCTGTCGAGGCAGCACAGCCGGCCAACAGCTACAGTCGTTCGCACACGGAACGTTAGGGAGCACTACAATCATGACACGTATAGGCACTCGCGCAAGTGAGCTTGTTGCGTCGTCACGTGGTCTCCTTTTGTTTGTTTGTTTGTTTGTTTGTTTGTTTGTTTGTTTGTTTGTTTGTTTGTTTGTTTGTTTGTTTGTTTGTTTGTTTGTTTGTTTGTTTGTTGGTTGGTTGGTTGGTTGGTTTGTTGGTTGGTTTGTTGCTTTGTTGGTTGGTTTGTTGGTTGGTTTGTTGGTTGGGTGGTTTGTTGGTTTGTTGGTTTGTTTGTTGGTTTGTTTGTTGGTTTGTTGGTTTTATGCCGTGGTCATTTGTAGTAATAATATCTGGGTTTTCACGTCTCAACTCAAAACCAACGTATGTTTTTAGGAGACGCCATAATGGAAGAGCTTTGAAAATATCGACCACCTGGTGTTCTTTAATGTGCACTGGCATCACACAGTATACACGGGCCTCTACGCTTTTCGCCTCCATGGAAATGCGACCACCGGGATTTGAACACGCGACCATCGGTTCGGCAGCCGAGCACCATAACCTCTGCTCTACCGTGTCAGACCGTGGGCGTCTCTATAGTAAGTAGAAAAATAGTAACAATTAACAGATATGCGGTTACAAACTGTCCAATCAGAGGTTTGGAAAACCGATACTCTAAAGCTTTCTCGTATGAATTTTTTGCCCAACTTCGTTCCTTCAAAAGATAGCTAATTAAAAATGTTTATTGGACACTTAGAAAGAAAAAAGGTAGTGTGAATTATTCTATGCAACTGCCTTCAATATGCGTTTGCTCGCATTCTCGTAGCGTATATTTTAAACTCTGACTAAAGATAAACCCCCCCCCCCCCTTGTAGATCCAACGTTTTCGTTGCATGTAATTTAAGCTGAACAAACAGAACGAAGTTTCACGTTAAAAAATACAACCATCGATCCCATAAGTAGCGCTTATACTAAAGATGGTCGAGATTGTACCACGCATACCACTTCCCGTCCTGCTCGGAACTTGACCATTCCCTCTTGACCACAAGGAACCGCTACGGCAACACAGTTTTTTTTTAAAACAGCATCGAGATTCAGCGCCGAGTGGATCGGTGTTGTTCTTATACACCGGATTACGTGTAAACTTCCTGAACAGCCCGTCCGAACCTGGGGTCTTTCGTTTTCGTCCGCACACCGGTGCCTACAGAGGCGATTAAACCCCCAAAAGAGAAACTGGGCCGCTGAAAATCTGTTGCCTACGAGGCGCAGGGCCGCGCACCCAGATAAAAGATAATGCCTGCCCGTAAAATAAGAGTGCCACGAAGAGTCCCGCGTACCTTATCTAGCCACCATTCGTGCCCACACGAGAAATAGAAACTCTGTCAGAGAGGGCCTATTACTTCCTGGAGCCACTTCCTGTATCCCCCTTGCCGCTAGTAAGCGCCCGAGCTTGCGCCGGTCTCAACGGTGCGCCCAGGAAAGAAACGGGCGAGCACGGAATATCTATAACCACGCGTCTGCCGCCGATTATTGTCGTCTCGGCGCTAACCATCTCGACGCAGCTTCTTTAGCGTCGTTACAGCTTCCCGCTTGTCGCGGAAAAAATAGAAAGAAAGAAAGAAAACAGCGTCTTCATTTTTACGCGTGTCGTCTTCGGGCAAAGGAAACATTTCACTCTTTTGTTTTGCCCCGAAAGACACAGCTTTTCACGTGAAGGAAAACGGAAAACATGACTGTTTTCATGTTTCCTCTGTTTCCCACATTAGAATATATGTGAAGGGTGCAGTCTACACGCTTAAGGAACGGCAGTTCGTCTTCTGCAACACCACATTAACAGGTAGCCTGAGTTCCCTTCAACAGTGTTTTTTTTTTTTCTTCACATCTCTTTTTGGTGCTTCGCGTGACGCCACGCTATATTTTTCGACAACGCAGAAGTGCGGATGAGTACAGTGTCATGTTATGTTCTTAAAAAAAGGCCTACATAATAAACAGAACAACTGGGGTCGAAGAAATGGCTGGCGTTATTTCAGATTTGTGTTTTGCGACGCGGGAGTGTCCTTAGCCTTTTTTATGCTTCTGGACACTCACGTGTAAGTGTGCGTATCTGTGTAAATGTATGTATATGTGTGTGTGCACGTGCATGCATGCATGCGTGTGTATGTGTACATTTGTGCGTGCGTGCGAGTTTGTAGTGTGTGTTTATGCTTCTGTGAGGGTATCTGTGTATGTGTCTGTGTGTATCTGTGCAAGTGTGTATATGTGTGTACGTCCGTGTGTGTAAAAGTACTAATTATGCCATATGCCCAAATTTCTGCGCCATACGCCCATGTCCAACGTGGTAGGCTCATTTGAACATCATGAGCTGCGTAGTTAATGTGGCCGCCGCGGGATGTCACCCCGTGTCAGCGCTCACGGCCGCACTGAAAGCCGCGCTACAGAGTAGCCACGCGTTCGAAGAAAAGCAAGAGAGTGCTCAAGGTCATAACGTGCGCTGGCGAAAAGACTCCTTGCCCCGTCGTCATACTCCTACCTCCTTTCTCGTATGTCCTCAAGCTTGTGAAAACAGTTTTTCACTCTAAAGTCCTACTTTTCACTGTAAAATAGTGTATAGATTATCGCGAAAAGAAAAGTTTAAATTCATTTTGATTGATTGAAAGGGGGGGGGGGGGAGAGCTTCGAAGCGTGAGACAAAGTCTTGTAACTGCGCACTTATACTTGACGACTTCTATAAAATTTGGGGGAATGTGATTCGTGAAATGTCACATGCTAATGAATGTTACATGAACACTTGAAAAAGTGTGGCAGGGTCTTTTCAAATATGAGATTTTTTCAACATGGAATCATTTAAGCTGTTAGGCAAGAGGCCACAATAAGCTCTCTTGTATATCATTTTCCTATAAAATTATGGGCTCCCTGGTATGGAACTCTGACGTACTTTATTCAATTTATTTACCAATAAACTGTCCTGCAACGTCTTGTCGACCGAACGATAGTAGATATAAGAGCCTAGTTAGGACAACAAATTTTGTATTAACCAATATTTACTACGACATATTAGGCTACCACAGTGTCCACTAAGGTTGGGCCAAGCCGAAAATCATTGATAATAATGCTGGCAGGTTCGCACTGGTGCTGCCAACCTTGGAAGCCTTTTAGCGTACCAGGCAAGCCCAGCCTAAAACTAGGCAGTTAATGCTACGAATAGCCACATGAGCAAGGGGCAGTAGAGCTTTAGAAACTTGGCCAAGTTGAATCGTTTTCTCTATTTATTGTTGCTTTCCTCTCTCTTTCACGGTTTATTTCTCTATGTTTCTCTTTTGTTCTCTCTCTATTTCTTGTACCCTATCCTCGTTATCTCGCCTAACTAAGCCCTAAGACTTGTCATTTCCGTGCCGGAATAAAGTTCGTGTCACTGCGCTGCCCCACACCGACCCCAACGTCCAGATCGTTGTCGGTATGCCACTTTGTTGTTGTTGTTGTTGTTGTTGTTGTTGTTGTTGTTGTTGTTGTTGTTGTTGTTGTTGTTGTTGTTGTTGTTGTTGTTGTTGTTGTTGTTGTTGTTGTTGTTGTTGTTGTAGAAGAAGAAGAAGGGCGTGCTCACCATGTTTCCATATCCGGATTCTGCGAGATCCAAGACGAAGCTGAGACGCACGTAGTTCATCTCGTATAGCAGCTTCTCGACCCAGAACACAAGGAAGCGCCGGTGCTGCAGCGCGTTACGCTCGTCCTTGCGATGCAACTTCACCCTGTGGTAGACTGCGGCATCGACCTTTTAGGCGAAGATGCTCTCAGTGCAACGTTCGGCATGTATTGGGAGCGGTGAACGTCTTAAGTCAGCAGAGGGCTACAGCGGCATTTCGGAACAATGTCGCAACAAAAAAAAAAAGATGTGTTAACGCGTCGGCACGGTATAGTAAAGAACATCATTGGGCGTCGTATGTGACGATGGGAAAGAATGTCACATACGACGTGGACAATAGACCCTCTTCATAATCGTAAAGTTAGCTTTCCTGCAGGGCTGTTAGCTCAACTAATGGTATCTATTATTCACTTCTGCAAACAGCATGTTCAAGCGCAGTTTACTGGCGCTGTGAAACGGAAAGTGTCGACCAGGATCGCTTGATATAAACGCATGTAACATACAAGCCCCGCACACAGCAACTGGGATCTCCTCTCTACTAAAACCATAACAGGTACCGCCATTAGATGGGCGAATGAGTGGCGCAAAGAAGCGCACTTGCGGATTGTGAAAAGGGTATATAAAAGAAAGAAATTTAAGAAATTTATAGAAGCACCACATCAATACACAAGAACACAGGTGTACGACAAAAAAAAGTGCCACGAACTGTGTTGTATTTTTCAAACGAGATTTACCAGGTCTAACAAAATTCTTGGTACATCGGGAAGAGGCCCAACAGGAGATGAACGCCTAAAGGACTACTATCCGATGCTGGAGTTCCCACAAAGATCGCTGCGTTCGGTAAAATGTCACATGAATATTGCTATGAGCGTTGCCATATTCTTCTTTAACAGGTGTGAAAATACGCCCAGCCCAATCATGGTCCTCAAATTCCCTGGTAAGAATACTGGTTTCAGGGGCACCTTCTTTGATATGTGTGCATTCAGAAATATTTTTTATAAAGCCATACTAAACAGCAAGGTTTCATCGTGACTGGATGGAAATATACACAAACAGGTAATACTTACTTAATTGACTCCCAAACTTGTCTTTGCCAAGAGGAAACATGGCGCCAAAGTCAAAGTAGACCGGAGGCAGAGTCGCCTCTGTGATGTCTAATTAAGGAGGAAACATGACGGAATTACAATCTGCGAAGACGCACGATGCGTTCAACTGACGCAGAATGGGGGTGAATAGGGAAATAAACATTATTAATCCCTCTTAGAAGTCGGTATAACACAAAAGTGAAAAGTGTCCTCGTATAAGTAGTTGAGCATTCATTGTGCACTATTTCGACACAAGGGCGAAGGAATGAATGCTGCAGTAACAAATCACAATGTCACACGAAGAACCACAAGCAGCTCGAAACTTGCAGCGCACACCTCAAGCGGAAAGCACGCGCGAAATGAGCATACAAGGTGACGGCGGACAAACAACTGTCACAATTCTTACTTCGTGTGTGAGCAGCGCGCTCCTTTTGTAAACGCGGCCGTGGCAGCGAGCGAATTGACGTTAGTGCCCTCTTTAACTACTGTAACTTCAAAGCGAACTTGCGGTGGAAGCACAAGAGCTACAAAGCAACCCCAATCCCGAGATAAGCATGCGCGCGAGTAAGCCACCATGCTGGAGAACATCTACACGCACTTTCACCCCGCCATGTGGAGGCATGCGCGCACAGCGCCGCGTGGGGTGACGCGGCACTACCACCTTTATAGAGCGCGCGCGGCCAACGCGCGCCCGTCGTGCCATCTCGCTACTGATTACTAAAGCGCGCTGAAGTTTCCGAGCTCTGAGGACTGCGAGCGGTACATGGTGTACGTAAAAAGCTCGCCGTTAACATGTTGGAGAAGGGTCGCTCTCTGGCTGAGTGGTTAGCGTCGTGCACAAAAAAGTGCAAAGGTTGCTAGTTCGACGCCCGACTGCGCAATTTTCCCTTCTCGTCTTTTTCTTTGCAATCTATTAGTAAATATTTTACAACGTCATATCCGTGACGGAAGTACGTCACGCAGCCGTGGTTCATCCCGGCATAAAACACTTTCGTGTTCAAGAAAGAAAGCTTCTTCCTTATCGAACTGAACTTTTATTTTATTTGGGGTGTAGATGCGTGGGAACGTATAGGCTACAACAGAGCTGCAGCTACACTAAGACACTGAATAACTTACTCAAGCAAAAGAAATAGCTAAGCAGGAAATATTTTTTTCATTACGCACTGCTTAAAAAATTACTAAATCACACAGACACTACCTTAATGAGACTACAGAAAGCACAGGTCAATACAAATAAGACGATCATCCATCGTACAGAAGCGGAAATGTCGAAGTTACTTACTGAGAGTAATTAGGACACGTCACTAGTTACTTTTGTAAATGTTTGATATGTAATTAAATTAAATTAAAATTTACACATCATCCAAAGCAATAGCATTAAATTAAGGTAGCTATACCTTTCAAAAATAACCAACATTATTTTAAAACTACTTCCACAAAATTTATAGCGTGCACTGACTCGTATAAACCATATTCGCAGCACATATACATCCGAATCCAAGAGAGACTTGTTGAATTTTTTACGTTTGAGGTTCGCCACTCTGATTAACTTGTCCTTAGTATTTCTTTTCCTATTTGATCATTTCTTATACTATATACTGAAAGCGGGCATGCCATACATCAGTCCACAGAAGTAAAAAAAAGTAAAGAATAATTTTGATAAAACTACTCTCTATAAGTAATTTTTAATACTTCTAATTTATAAGCCCACAAAAGATAATCATTATATCACTCACTACAGCAAGAGGCAATCTAAGTTCTGTAATTTCATTACTGCCATGTCTCTGTAGGAATGGGCTAGACCAGGCAAGCTTTTTTTTTATTTCATACATGTATGTGTAAACTGAAAATGCACGAAGCGGTGTCAAAAAAAAAAAAGAGAGCGATCTTGTTACAAAGCCAGTAATGAGCTAACTCTATGCTCTGTCATATAAAGAGTGCATAAAGTTGGCGTCCACTAAAAAAATGGCTGAGGGCGTTTACGGCACGCCTCTGCTTGTACGGGTAGAACTGTTACCGAAGCATTCTGCTCTTTGCCAGACTGTTAGTCGAGAATGCTCTCATTTTCATGCAGGCCAACACGCTTTTGTTCGTAATGAGTACATTATAGGATAATATTGAAACGAAGATGCGCTGAGAGAACAAATCGGTCTCACTGAGAACAAAACGGTCTCACTGAGAGAACAAATCGAACTCTCACGAATATGCTATCGATGTACGTTGATGCTGACCACAGGAACTGGGACGCCGTCTTACCGTTTGTTACTTACGCGTATAACACCGCCAAGCATGAAGTTACTGGACATTCGCCCTTCTTTCTGCTTTACGCACGAAATCCACAGAGTTTACTGGACACTCTATTACCTTTCTCGCATCAGGAAGATCTGTCCATCGCTCAGACGTTGTGTCGCGCTGAAGAAGCACGTCAACTAGCGCGCCTTCGAACATTGTCTTCGCAAGAACACAGCAAGAGTCGCTACGATGCCAAGCATATCCCCGTAGAGTTTTCTCCTGGTGACTACGTGTGGCTGTGGACTCCTGTTCGTAGAAAAGGATTGTACCGGAAGTTTCTAGCAAACTATTCCGGCCCATTCGTGATAGTCACTCGTCTCAGTGACGTGAATTACGTTGTCGCCCGAGTCACAGCCAATAACCGGCGTTCGCGCACTACGCAAATTGTTCACGTAGCCCGCCTCAAACAGTACCATCATAGGCCTATTTAACTCGCTCGGCGAGCTTCGTCTGCCGCCGGGGGAAATGAAACGAAGATGCGCAAGCCTACGGGGTGCGGAAGAAGAAGAAGAGTAGCGGAGCGGCGCTTGGACAGAGCACGTTGGGTGGAAGCGTTCTAGGCCTGTCTCAGAAGTACGCTGCTATTTCACAACGCCATTTCACCTCATCTGTAAATAAACACAGTCACTCGTAACAATATGTAGCGGGGAAGCATCAGATTAAGCTACTACAGAAACTACGATGTGGTATTATTGATCATTACGCGCGAGAGATGACGTGTGGGCAAACGTCTAAGCATAGATGATAAAGTATAGTGCGCTGAGTTTGCGGTCGTCAGTAGTTTGTTTTGGCTAAAACATCTGAGATAAGGGTTACAAAACCATTCTATTCCTTACGTTGTGCGGCAGACTTTGCAGGAGTTTCACCATACCTAATGGAACCAGTGGGCACAGATGCTCACGGAGTGAAAGAATGAATCTGAGCTTTCAGTGTAACGAGTGGTACGAGTAAACGTTCGCAATGAATGCGTCATCTCACTACGCATCTCACCACTAAATGAAATGCAGGCTCTGATGTAAGTGTTGAAGCCTAAATAACACCAATACGACTCGGGCTGAAGGCGGTGAAACAAAGTATAGAGCTGCTTGTCGTTATTCGCGCGGCATTCCAATTTCTCGCAGTCGCAGTTACTGCCCCGCCTTTGCGACAAAACTGTGACTTAGAGAAAACAGGTAATTAATGGCGCACATTATTGCCTACAAGGTCTCCTTCTTTCACGTAAATCGCAACAACCAAACACGCAAGAACGAACAAACAGTTCTGCCATGCCTTCAACTCAACAACACTCTAGTGCACAAACATCATACACAAGAGTAGTCATGAACTTACCGTTGACTTCAAACTTCTTGCGCCAGATGAGTGCTTTTTTCGCCATTTCGAAAGCTGCTTCCAAATCCAGCTTTTTGTGACGGATAAACCTTCGGCACAGTTCATCGCAGTCGGCAATTTTTTGCACGTCCGCTGGATGAAACTGATCTGAGTCCGTACATTTCGTGCATGTGAAAAAGAAGAGAAAAGCAGAGATTGCACGTGAGAACTTGCACAGCATATACTACGAGAATAAACAAGCGCTTTTTAGTAGAAAGCCGTATACACTACATTTTCAATGGCAAAACTTAGTTACGATAGTGAATGTCGCTGTTCAAATCCAAAACCACAATATGATTATGAGATACGCCGTAGTGGAGCGCTCCGAAAATTTCGACCACCTGGAGTTCTTTAAAGTGCACCTGAATCTAAGTCCATTGGCCTGAAACATTTGCGCCTCCATCGAAAATGCGTCCACTGTTGACGGAATACGTTCCCGCGACCTTCAAGGAAAACTTGGTTATGAAACGTAGGCAGTCACCCCACTTGAAGTTTTCCAGCAAACCAACGACTCGTGATACCAGCGCCGAGTATTTTGCAGCGAAAGTTGTTATGAGATCACAACAAGGGCCGTATAGTAGTTGTCCGCCGCCGCTTTGACTGTGCTGCGTATTCCGCACAAGCCGGCGTTCTTTCTTTAGGGGCGAAGCTTCCTATAGCGGCACCCGTTCGTCCCTCGTAGCCGTTGTAGTAGTGTGTAACAAGTATAGCATTTTGACCTCCAAGGTGGTGCCGGTGAGAGATTTCTTCTGTGCGTTGTTGAACAATATAAAATGTGGCGTTTTAGAGCGGCACTCTTTTATAAAACAGGAGAGCGGTCACGACACGTCAAGTGGTGATGGCGGAACTAGCCTGAGTCCTTCACCAAGCAAACGTCGTCTTCTTCACCGACTGAGGGATACCCCCTGCCTTTCTGAGTAGCACTCATCTTCTTCACTACAAATAAAAGATAGTGCTCAATATACATGCCAATCGCTGCTAAAGGGGAATGAGATTGATTGATTGATATGTGTGGTTTAACGTCTCAAAACCACCATATGATTATGAGAGACGCCGTAGTGGAGGGCTCCGGAAATTTCGACCACCTGGGGTTCTTTAACGTGCACCCAAATCTGAGCACACGGGCCTACATTTCCGCCTCCATCGGAAATGCAGCCGTCGAAGGGGGAATGAGACAGGAAAATTCGACTTTCAGTTAACGCACACGCTGCGAATTTTTATTGTTCAACAACGCACAGAAGACAAGAAAGAGTTGCTACGTTATACTCGCTGGGCGTAACCTCCTAGGTTTTAGAAATGTTTAGCGAGCGTTGGGTCGCAGTGCCATGAATACAGTGAACTAGTTTATACCATGAACTCCGGGTGGTTAAAGGTGGGAAGTAGACCTGAAGCGCAAGCCGTAAGAAAGTGTGCGTGTGCCTCCTCTCGTTCAGTCTTTGGAATGTCCGCTGGATGGCGGTGCTTCTATATGAGGAATATATGATGAAAAGATGCGAGATGGTGGTACTTGGAGTGTTGAATAGGTGGACGAACGGACACACAGACAGATGCATGGACGGACGCACGGATGTCTGAACGGACAGATGGATGCATGGACGGACGCAGGAGCGGATGCATAGACGAAAGCAGGGACGGACGCACAGATGAACGTGCGGACGCACGAACAGACGCACGCACGGACGGGCGGATGGACGCACTGGCGGCCACGCAGACGCGCGCATGGACGGACGGAAGCAAGAACTAATGGACGGACGGATGCTTCGCCCCACTATCCATCATTCACTTCGTGGATATGCTGCCAATTTTTTTTCAGTCAGAAGAAAGCTTTTCGGATACGAAAGCGGCATCTGTCATCCTCACACGTCTCTTCCCGTTATTTAGGCGACATGCTGCGAAGCTAAAGTACGCGATGCGGGAGCTGGAAAAATAAAGTTTCGCTGATGCATGCAAATCTGATCAACTCCATTATAAAAGTCGTCGAAGCTGTTTAAAGCAGTGCTCGTGTCCATTCCGCGTCCGTGTAAGAATTTGCGCCACTCAGGTCCGAAATCTTATCAGCACTCAAATTTAAGCGCTTCGCTACGCTCCGAAATTCTCTCACCATATTCCAGCCTTTCGAAACACTTGTCTTTATACTTAACCTTTCTTTAGCTTCTTTGTGAAAATAATGAAGAGCGAGAGAGCCATACAGTGTCGCATTAGCCTGCTTATCATAGGCATAGTTTATTTAGCTTCTGTCATTATTATTGTCTTTATATTGTTACGTCAATGTAGATTAGAGAGGTTTTTTTTCTTCACAGCATCATTCCCTCTCCTTTTTTTTTTCTTTACACCTTAACTTCCCCAGGCGTTCAGCTTCCGCGAAACGAACACAGCGTGCGCAAATGTTGGGATTTCACAGCAGTCCCAAGACGTGGGTGGTGTACGCGGTGGATCCCTCACTGATGCCGAAATACTCCGTCATTACATATTGTACTCTAATTCATCATCACCGCCACCAGCCTCTCTCAGGTGCTTTGAAGTGAGGAGGCATCTCCCGATTGTCTTCAAATTATCCTGTGATGCACGAGCAGACTCCATTTCGTGCCTGCAAATTTCTTGATTCCTTCGCTCCACTTAACCCTTCGCCGCCCACGACCGCGTTTCCGATCTCTACCTATTCATTTCGCCACTCGGACAGTGTCCTTCTCGCCACGTGATTTGTCCAGGTCACTTTTATCCCTTTTAGTGCCTACTAAGACATCAGCTACTCCCGTTAGTTCTCTATCATAATTAACAATTAAGTAATTATATATTCCTTTACTCCAGATAAACACGCACAGGCGAAATTTATCGTGCATACTGTGCGCAGTCTATTTCAGTACACAGTCGTGATGCAACGGCCTTGAAGTGGCAGCAGTGCTCGAAATGAATGTTTAATTTTTTTTCTTTTATTAGGCGGCATCCAGAGCGACAACAACAACAAAATTGGGACGGCACAAGCGCCAGTCTTTCATTCGAGGTGCTGCATAATATGGGACAGTTTCCAACTCGCCGCCTTTTCTATTCTCCTACAACTCGTTATTTGCATCGTCACCGTCATCTTTTCAGACGAAGTGCCCTTTATATATTTGCGCTTCTACGGTATGAATAGAAGTCGTTGTCGCGGAGTGACACGCGTAGACACCGTGAAGGCTTCCCCGTTCAACTTGACGATAAATCACGCCATTCTAGCCGGTGCGGACAAAGCTGGCGTTCCGGCGATGCAGACATTCTTGAAGGCTACAGAAAGCCGCGGTGAGCGTGTTCGCAGAAAAAGTTAGAGGCGAAATTAAGCCCGGTACGATGATGTAGGAAGTCGCGATGAGCAACGTTTCTTGAGCGCTGGTTGACCAGTAAATATTTTAGCACCCATGGTACACTTACTTAAGAGGAAGTGTGTGAGGGCAAAGGTTGCCTCGTCCATCTCCTTTTTTCGACGCTGTCGTATTTACGGCACCAACATTGTTACTGTTTGGAATGCACCGATACTAATAATACTGTTACCAATGGTCCTCAAATGGCAGATCATGCAGAGAGCAATGAGATTCGCAGCGAGTCTAACCTTACTTCGAAAACAAGTGACGACGAGAGAACCCCCGCACAAGTAGGACCACAGGTTTTCGAAACATATCTGCATCGACTCGGCCACCAGAAGGCATCTTTCGCAACGCACAGCTAAGCTCCGTATGTCAACACGACGATGGATGCACGCGCCGCTTACTCTGAGGCACGGGAAGCATGACGACACTCGTTTAAACGTCCCCGTCGCAGGTGTATTTGCGATTGCCTTCGTCGTTGTCTTGGAGGTGATGAAACTGCTGTCTCGGTTACATTTGAACAACCAAATCTCCGCGTCGTTTCTCATCAGTCGTGGTGAGGTGTGTGACCAATTGACTTATCTCAATAAAATTTGCGACTTCATCTGACTATCATTCCAACGACGAGAGGCTGAGACTGAAAATCAGGGACCAGCAAATGTATGTGCTCCTATGTCTTAGGCGTCTGTCCCATCAAGCGCGAAAGTTGACCATCGGCGGCTTTAGCACAAGCGGCTTAAAAAAGTCATCCTCCTACTATGACGTCCCCATACGACGTTGTAACAACGTCTCAGATCACCAGCGTCTGTGACATCATCATGACATCACCCAACGTCACGTGACATAGTCGCTTGTGTGTCAATGACGGAGGCCGTGTAAAAACAATTGAGCTGCATAAAGCTTTCGGAGGGGAGTGGCCGGGGCAGAATCAATACACCGACAGGAAAGTAAACAAAGATTGTGGTGGTGGTGGTCCGTTTTTATTTGCATAGATGTAGTCTGACGATATGTTCCCTGCGCCCATTCTGCGAAGAAACTGAAATTTTTAGTCATTATTTTAGATCATGTCAGAACTATTCTTTATTTAGGAAAGGACTTATAGTTATTGCGATTTCCGCAGTAGGTTTAAATTTAACTGCAGACGGTTTTCTGTGTCTTTGTGTACGGGTTCGGATATTGCACAGAAACGTATTCGATGCAGTATGTAATTTTATTCAAAAATCTAAACACATGCCAATATAGCGTGTTCTTTATTATATTCTTGACTAATACTTGTGGTATAATTGGTAATGTAATGAATGTCGGGCATACATTTGATTTTGATCGGGTGAAATAACTATACTGTCTGGTCTACTCAAATCTTAGTGTTCCAATAAAGTATTAGCTCCTTTTTTTTCTTTTATTGATCCATCTTTATTTCATTTTTTTTTATTTTTGAAAGATAAGTTGCTATTCCTTTTTGTTCATTTTAGTGATAGGCTGTTAATCATTGTATATTGTTCACATAAAGGCTACTACAAGCTTTCTTGGCCAATCCCCCAGAGTGAGTATGTACCAGTGTTCGCAGACAACATAAAAACAAAGAAACAAACTTTCGTCTAGGAGTCGTCTTAGTCGAATGAATGAGAGACCTTGCGAATTCTCCAACTACACACCCATTAAACTCTGCGCTGGAACAAGGTGGTATAAAAGCCTTTTTGTGTCAGTATTCTTTATTTCGCGTATCTAAATCCGCCTACGCGCCTCATCCGACTGCTTTGCCGCAACAAC